ACCAGGTAGTCACAACTCGTAAACCTAAAAGCCAAACCACTTACGATCGACCCGGCTCGTAGACCAATGTAAATATATAATATACGTCTCTTTTCGGTGAAGAAAGGCTACGGCCTTTTAATATAGAAATGATTTTTCTCGTTCCGTCTTGTACAATCATTCGAGTAACTTCTGCAAGTGACAAGTTCGACTAGAGCGAGGAATAACTACTCTGTTGATATGATCTTACTATTGCTATGTATATGATATTTGGCTTCATTTCAGGGGTTTACGGATTAACGTCGCAGGCATTAGTCCATAAATAGACATGAATTTTGTTAATATAATATCATAGACCCCTTGTCTTGTTAGTCGCTCGTGTAATTCAGCTTCCTCTGTATCAAATCGTTAACTTAAAATAAAGAAATAACCTACTAAAACAGTAGTCCTGTTTGCGTTAGGCCTATGCATAATATGCCCCATGTATACAGTTAGACGTCGATGCGGTATCTGTAGCATGCAAAAGCTGGCAAACATGGTATGGCAACAAGGCTCATGTTCGGTTACAGCTATGGTTTAGGGCTCATTCTCGATGTGAGAGTCTGTCTTGTCTGGCTGTTTTCCAACTAAATACATCATACAGTTGCAGACTAAATTATTGACTGGCTGAAACTTCGAAGCCGATGGCCTACGAGTTCAGCTGGGGGCGGAATTGAAAGCATCCAGCGTTTGCCTCTCAAATAGGAACCACTTTAACAAACACAGAGCCAGCGACTGGCACATCACAGCTATCGATCTTACCGTAGCTTCCTAACCTACTCTTCCTAGCAAGATGCTATTTACAAAAATTCTTCGTTATATTTACAGGCTTTGTTGGATAACGTCACGACACTCGCGGGGGTTCATTTATTTTATGACGTGGAGAGAGATGACGAGATAAAAGGGAACTAAGTTGAGACGGAATGTTGAACCGATCACAATTCAGTAACTGTTAATCCAAAGGTTAATCTTGTGGGCTTCTGGCCTGACAGTTTTATGAAGCGTGGGCTCGGTGTATGAGATGATGAACATGTATTTGTCCATTATTAATATTATACGTATATAATAAATGACTGCGCCACAACACTCATTGTGAATGGTCAGGCGATGCGGATGGTTAGCCTATTGATATGGTCCATCTCGACATGCGTCTTACACTCCAATGAACAACTGTTGCACCTTTGCAACCTTTATTTTCGTAAACAACAGCCAATGGAGTGATATAAACTAAAGCTTTGGCTTCTCAGGCGAAGCGCATCTGCTATACTAATCGTCTTCATAATGTCATCCCCTTTGTATAAAAGAACCTAGTCCTATTCGCAACTAAACTAATGGCTCTTAATCCAAACGTCTGCTACATGTTGAGTAGATCATGATGGCTGTCTAGAACGGAACAAAACATCATACTTGTAGGGACACAATTGTCGAATTCAAGATCGACATTACTAATATATGCAAAAGATGTTCTGCTTTATGCGTAATTAAGTGTTTATTCAGTTATCTCCTACCAGAGTTTTGACTTCAAGTCTGCTTGTTTCACATTTCAAAATCAACTGTGGGCCTACTTTTCCAAAAACGCAAAGCTATTATTATTATGGAAATAATGATTTTCTATTAGAAGATTATTTTGTAAAAAAAATACTTACAGGACATGGCTAAATCGATCTGGGACCCGCATTTTTCTCTGCGTTGATTCTATGTACATGCGCCATCTGCAGGCCAAATACCGTAACGTCAGACAGCACAACCGTCATTGCAACGGTTCGACTGACCAAGCGGAAAATGTCCCATCAAATGTTTGATGGAGATTTTGTTTACAGGCAAAACTGCATTTAAAAGGAGAAAAATGTTTCACCAACTAATTTTCTGCAGCACGATCAAACTTTGTGACATAAAAACTTGCACGTAGCATTATAAACACGTCCAGTATAAACGTAACCATTATGCAATACGTTTCACAATATGGTTTCTAATGTGACAGCTATATATATTATGCGCGTTTTTATTGTAAACGTGGTTTTGTATTAATACGATCTTCCGCTCAATGCAAAAAAACGCTTTCGTTCATGGCCTAAGACGTGTACATGAAGAGGCGGTGTGTATGCTAGCTATACAGTGACTCTTTGGAGCGATCCAATTCATTCCAACTTGGCAGAGCATAAGCCAGCATGCCTTGATGACAGCATACTAACGGTTTAGAGTGTTTTTGCCATGTATCGTATCATAATAACTCACCTTACTGGGGTTCCGTACACTATATCATATCAAATATACCCGTCAACATAGCGGGCCTCTTTGTCAATGGCTAGCTCATCGTTCGCGGTTATTGTTGATGCTGTCTCACTCGAACGACTCTGGTTATTTCTAGAATCAAAAGATAAAGGCTGCAATCAAATATCAATACCTTATCAAAGGTTATCTATGTCGGAGTACAACAAGAATACTGGCTCGCTGAATATTCCACGTGCTTTCGATACCAATAAGGTCTGATGCCAAGGGTTACTTCTGTCGGTTAGTTTAGTGTATAGCAAGTGGCTAGCCATATCTGATTCCTACTTGATATTCTATAATGCTGATTTTATGAAGTTAGAAAACAACGGGTCGCTCGAACCGGATGTACCTATCGTCGTCGAAGAAGTGACGGTAAAAATGATCAACGAAAAGAAGTTGGTACGCTGTATGTGGTATAATGGCACATGCGTTAGGCATGAATATATGCGCGCCTATGCTTTTCGTGGCGTCATAATTTTCACTTTTGTAGTCCCTTTGGCTGTAAAGTACGTATTTGGTCTCGTGATCACGCAGTTTCTATGTATTCTCCATATGTGCGTATATAGGATTACTTAAGCGATGTATGTGGATAATATATTGAACGGAAAAGCATTTTCATCTTTATAAAAATGGAATGCATATATTACACTTCAAAGGAGTTTACGATATAGCTATAAATCGTGCATAGGTTAATGCGAACATATACATAATACGTACAGATTACGTTTTTTTGACTAGCCAGTCTTATATACCTCGTCATATATATATATATATATATATATATATATATATATATATATATATTCCTGAACCTTTCAGAAGGTGACTCAAAAAAATTACAAAAGGCCTTACTTGTCCTAACTGAACAGGTGGAAAAGGCAATGGGATTTGTTACGTGACACATTAATATTTCTTAGTTAGTGGGCGGACGATGATCAATAGGAAACGCAATTTTATTTGTTAGTTAGATGGAGCTGGGTTTAGAGCTTGTCACCGGTGGCATAGCACAGATCTGGAAGACAATAACAACGAAAAAGGAGCTTGCGTCTCTGAGTTCGAAGCCCCGTGAAGTTGAGAACGCTACTTGCTTTATTCTCAGACAGACTATAGGAATAAACTGGTCGTGTAGTTATGAAGACGCCAAATTCGTATTAACCTGGCGGAAAGTGAGAAGGAGGACTTGGCTTGAAAATGGATTTAGAAAGGGCTTGTTATTGGGAAGACCATTGCTAGGAACGTAAAAACATATGTGCGGATATAAACAGATAGGGCTCTAAGAAGGTCGACGAATGTGTCAGAGTAAGCATAGTTCTAATGGTACTAGCAAGCCTCATAGCGCCTGAACGGTTACGCCATACGATAAAAGGTGATTATAGTGTCCTGCGATTGTACTCAAGCTTGTTCCAAATAAATAAACATTCATTCTTTGAGTGAAAAGTTCTTGTAAGAGGCTATATGTAAAAAAAAATCAGCAAAAATACTTATCCTTTAAATAAACGTCAGTAGCTTCAGTGTCTATCTATAAAGGGTGTTAGTTGCTGAAGACAGCAGGACGGTGGCCATGGAAGTCGGAATCCGCTAAGGAGCGTGTAACAACTCACCTGCCAAAGCAACTAGCCCCAAAAATAGATGGCGCTATAGCATTGTACTTATACTCAGCCTCTGACGTGTGACGCACCGGAGCGCTCAGAGAGTAGGAAGGTAATGTGATAGCATCGAAAGATGTTGCTGTGAAGCAATCTGGAGCTGTCACATGTGCAGATCTTGGTGGTAGTAGCAAGTACTCAATTGAAAACCTTGAGTACTGAAGTTGGGGATGGGTTCCAGGTGAACAGTAGTTGATCGTGGGTCAGTCGGTCCTAAGCTTATGATGAAACATGTGTTGAATGTACATAATAATATGTTATCACCATAAGCGAAAGGGTATCAGGCTAATATTCCTGAACCTGCACACTGGGAACGCTACTTAGGTAGCAACCGTGGCAACACAAGTACGCTCAAAAAGACCAAGAGATAGGCTAGGAAGAGTTGTCTGTTCTTTTTAAGTTACTGTTACCCACGGAATGAAGTAAATTTGAGATATGGGTAAGGGTGACATAAAGCTGCTCATATTAGAGTAGTTTAGTTGATTCCCTTGGTCCTTGAGAATTTGAGCGTGGTGATTATCTTGGTGGCACTCCGTACTAATATCCGCGGCAGGTCTCCAAGGTGCGAAGCCTTTAGTGTGTCTAGATTAATGTAGGTAAGGGAAGTCGGCAAAATAGTTCTGTTACTTACTTTGGGAGAAGGGATGGCTCAGAAGGTTGATCCAGTTAGATTGACAGTAAAAGTATTTATGACACTGTGTTGTCGACGGATGGACTTCGTGTCTGTCTGGATGATGACCGAAATTGTGTTTATGGACATTGTCAGCTATTTCGGTTTATGCTGATGTGAGTGGAAATTATCCACTACTTCAGAATTGGCACGAACTGAGGGAATCCGACTGTCTAATAATTACACTTTGAAAAGGCAAGTTTACCTCTTTGTAGCCTGCAAAGAAGTAACTAATGCAAGTAAAGGATCTTAACCTAAACCACGTCATTCCACACGTAAGCGTAATGATTACGTTACTTCTCTACTCCCTCTCCAAGATTCTCTGTCAAAAGTCAATTGGCATAGAACAGCTAACATAAGTTGAACAATAACGTAGGCTTTTATGTTTATTTTCAGTGAAATTCAGGACAATAATATCTATAATTTGACGCATTGCATATCAGACTAATCTGCTCTGTTCCCATAGTCGCGTACACGTTCTGAGCTTAAGGGTGTGCTCCTAAATAGCCTTATTCCAGGTGTTCCATTATAGCTACTACCGTCCGTAATAACATCTGCAATAGAAATGAATGATATAGTGTGACATACCGTAAAGGTAAATAGATCAGTACCATTCCTGTGTTTTGGAAAGATGACAGAACTGTGCAGTGGAATAGAAAATTTAGCACTCATATATCTGATGCTATCTTTTTTGATCGGTCAGAGAGCCACTCGATGCTGACTTTAACATTTTACCTCTTTAATGCAGTCCTCTATTTTACGGTACTTTGTTTAGGTATATGCATTGTGTATAAGTATTTTGCATTGCTGTCTATGTATAATAATAATAGGGCTGTATGGAACATAGTACATAATGTCATAACACAGAACAGGGTAGTTATATCTGGATTTTTTCGGAAGCCATTCTAAGATTATAGCTAAGCACAAATAGATGTCAACGATAATTGTTTGCATGTGCTAGAAAGATCATTTACGACGGTCATATTTAGTTCAATGTAGTCGCCATCCGCCCGAACTTCACGTTTAATTTCAAACATTCTTTCTTTCGTTCATACTTAATAGTAATCGTGTGTAAGGCGATACTGATAGATGTCAAGTCAGTAGAGCATCGTTGAAATATATAGAGATTCCAGCGAAATTAGCCTGTGGGCCAAAAGGCGCACGAAGATTTAAGAAAACTAATTATTGTAACCTAGTTGGGTAAGCCAATCAGAGGTTAATGCTCGGTTCTTCAGTGGCATGATCAATTTTTATGTGGAAATCCAGGTGTATCAAGAATGGTTTTAAGCAACTTTGTACATTTTCGAGCCATTTAAGTCCAATCAACAGTGACATTTTTTTTTTTTGAAGAAATCCTCCTCAGGTTTTCAGGATGTTGCACGAAAATTGGCAATAACGTAGATCGTCGATTCCAAGTAAAAAAATATCGTGGTGGGAATTCGAGCGAAATAAATGTATTGCATAATAGATGATCATTGCTCAAAACACGGAAACGATGCGCTGTTTGCCACCATAATAAGTCTTTTTCTGCACAAACAACTGGCTATGTTTCAGTTTTCAAAATAGCTAGTGAACAAATGCCCACTACAACAAACAGCCCAATAAATCTTCGTCCAGATTTAAATGTTCTGCCCTGTATACACTTACCGTGCACATTTAGTTCCCTCTACTGCCTAATAAGTTAAACTTTATATATTTTAGGCAATTTTAAGGGATTAAAGCGATAAATCCACTAATAATACAATCAAGCGATGGAAATCACTCGACCCGTAAGAGAGCAAACGGCGTCACATGTCGGTCAGTTCCGAAAATGCAAACACTCAAAGCCAAAAACATTTTTCCGATGTACCTACGCTATACCCGGACGCTACTTACTACTTACTACTTACTTTTAAGACAAGTTTAATACCGAAAGTAGAACCTATTCAACCTGTCTTGCAACGTTGGCAACAACGTTGCCACTGCTCTGTTATCTTATGGTACTGTTCCATTAACTCGCTGCGTGTCGTCGTTATTGTCACGTTGCAGTTTCTCAATTGGCCTATGATATGTAACTTATGCACGGTTTTATTTATTCCATTACCTCCTTTTATCATAGCTTTACTATATATACAAGTCGTCCTCTATTGCTTATACATTTTAAGGAAGTAAGAGATGTGCACGACCCCTTTTACCTTCTATCGACGTCCTGTGTGTGATGAGAGCAGCTGGTAAAGCTGCGAAGTTTCCTTCGTCCATGCCAAACCATAAGTTCTCTTCTTGTACCCGCCGCCACGCTAGTCAGATTGCATCATAACAAGATAGACAAATCATCACCGTTTTCTGGCTTCTACGTAGCAAATTCGTTGCCACAAAACTTTAACTTGTAAAGAAGCTGCCTCGATCGCAAGCGTCAACAGGCTCTCGATCACATCATTCGCGGGCGTATTCATATATATAGATGTATATATATATATATATATATATATATATATATATATATATATATATATAGTCTGTGACAGCTCGACGCGGCGCTCAACCATGTACAAGAGCCATCTTGAATATGACAACGAGAATTTCTGATGCGACGTCCGTTGCCAGGCAAAGAAACGTTATTCCACAGTTGTTGGAGCCAGCAAATATGGATATACGACTATATTGTGAGCAGGTAAAATAGAGAGAAAAAAAAACAGTCTAAGGAGACCTACAAGTCGTTGTAAGTGACACCAATGTCATACCTTTTTGTAAACCATTTCAGTCGATTCTCAAGCTAATACGACGAAGGAGATAAAATTGCAGATCAAGATTGTCCACTTGCCGGAAGGGCGTCTATTCTCAGAGGGAACGTGGCTCAACATGGTAGAGCTCAAAAGGGAATGATAGAGAATAAAAAAAAATGAAACTTACGATCGCCAATCAAACAATGGAGATCGACCTCTCCATAAATACCATTATTGTTACCGTTTATTTTTAAAATGATAAGCTTGTGCGATATAATTCTTGACCTTTAATTGAAGGTAATTTGGTAACAACCGTAGCACAAGCTCATTCTTAAAGAAATATAAGGCCCGTAAGTGGATTCTTGTTGGTATGGGTACGTAATTAAATATGCCATACCGTAAATGGAGAGGTGGGTGCGCAGCCACAGTTATAGTGGTGATCGGTAAAAAGGCTGAGGATCGGATTGATCATGCAAAGCATACGCCCGGCGAACTTCTAAGCCGACTATGCCTGCACCAGGACTATAAGCAGTAACCTAAATAGATATTTCGAGCCTTACAACCCTCAACTGCACTAGCATTGCGTGAGGCCATATCAGCGGTGATGCGCAGTTACTATCACTGTCTTGCAACGTCACTCCACGAATGGAAAAGACGCAGTATATTGTGAACTACTACATGTCCGCGTCATAACACTCGAGTAGAAACAGCAGTCTATTTACATAAGAGTTAATGCATTTAAAGTGAATTGATAGCTACATCCTAAAATAGTCCAAAAATGGAATACCCAGACCCACAACAACAACAGGTGATTCTACATTGAAAATTCCTGAACACAGGAAATGATAGTGGTATATCGGGCAAGCTTCATTTAGCTTGAACGGCTAGTGCCACAAAAATATAGATAATCAATAAAGAAGCTTATTCTATATTATTAGCACATTATGATTACCATTATCAGCGAGCAATAACATTCGTGTGATTTCTATAATCTATTTTTCAATTTATGTAGTAGTTAAAACAATGAGCAGGAATCCTGATTGGGACGCGTTTCAACTCCCCGTTCAGACATACGGGACACATGACTTCGGCTGATTGTTACGTTTAAACAAGGTTAGGATGTTTTTGTGCTTTCTGAGAACAGTCGTTGCGCTACGTGTTATTGCTCGAAGTTCTTCCGGCGGATCGACACGTGATCCTTTCCCTTTCCATGTACAACCTATTTATATATGTTTTCCTCGCAAACTTTGCATCCTAGGTTCCGTTTCCTAGGTGAAGACCCCCCAGCAGAGCATTCAATTTCTGCTGCAATCTACATATCCCTTGCGTGAGTGTAAGCACACGAAACGCCTTTTTCCACGCGACGCCAGAACCATATTGTGTTGCACCTAGCTCATCGCTTAAATTAGGCAGAACTCACCGTCAAATTAGTAGATGCCATTAGTGTTTTATACGATAGTAATAAAGTAGTCTTCGCATTTTTATCGCTATTTTCTAATATAATCTCCGGAATGAGTCTTTGCGATCGAACAGACTATTCCGTCTTCATATTTCATAAAGTCAGGACGAAACCTTAATGGTCGTGCCTATTTATCGTTATCGTATACGTTTACTTACCAGAAGATTTTTGAACGCTACATCTAGAGGCGTCAGTTTGGCGCGTATCGCAAAAAGTAGTTTTTTAGCTGACTTATATATACTATCTTTTCGTTGCTATTAATATACCGACAAAGCTAGTCATAGGAATCTTGGCACACTGTTTTTTTCTGGAGCTCTTGGCCTCTTCCGGCGAATTACGTGTGCTTGCGCTTACATTTTTGCATTAAACGGCCTTGAAATGGTCTCTAAAAATAGACTAGAGGCCAGTCACGAACACGAGCCTGTGAACTGTTATCGTAATGGTATTGGACGCTTCACTCGGTTCGCTGGGTTCAAATACGGGTAAAAAAGCTAATTCTGAATATGAGCCCGCTGAGTCGAGCGTCAGGCTCACGATTTTCGTTTCGTCAGTCTTCACTGACGTAGAAAAATGACAGGTTAGATTAGAACCATTGCTGCCTTTCCTACGTGAACCTATTGTGGCTCATTTAACAGTGGCATTCTCCTCAAAAATATTATGAAAAATTATTGCGTCGTATCTAATGGCTGATGTTAATAGAATGAATTAATGAAACGATCGAAACTAGCCGAGAGTCGAATGCGGATACCCAAATATCTACATCAATACATGGCAGGTGACGAATGTCACCGTACCGTACCATTTTAGGCTGTCCCGATACTAGCACTGCCTTTTCGTGGTGAGGTTAACCGTGAGCTTTGGCCAAGCCTGATCTAGGACATGTGATTACGTCGCATTCATATGTATAGACAATCTGTTTTAAGTCTGGTTGTTTCGTTACGATACGTTTTGGCAAGGCCTCGATTGTTAAATACCTCGTAGGAGTTTCTCCAACCTTGATTCATTTTCTATCGTTAAAAATGTACTGATAAATGCACCTGCCATGAACCTAGAGACTAACCTGAAGGTCGCATAGTTTAGAGAAGGAAGGCCCCAGCCGGATTCGCCGTAGGCAGCGCGAACGTTCGAAGCTCTCCCCGTATAGCGCGGAGCTACCGATTCGTATCGAGTTCAATGAAGCACACTATACAGATCCAGGAGAGATGACAGCCACTGCAATAAAATAAAGTTGAATCAAGCAAGTGAGTTCTCGCTTGACCGAACACACGACGCTATCAGACGTATTGCGCAATGGAAAGCCTCTCTGTAATCTGTATTTCGTCAGGGAAAACCATTGTGCGTGCGTAGAGACAAAAACATACTGCGAATGCAAAATAGAATGTTATAAAATGGGCATAAACTACATACTATAAAGATATTTGAAATTTCAAAACGCCGTAAAGCTGACAATGGTTTAATCGAATGTATTGTACTTTACATGTATGTGTGTTATAGCATACGGAACAGGTCTTTACAAGGCAAAATTATTCGGCTCTAGACTTCCGAGCAGTTTCGACACGGTCTCCTTTAACCAGCGAGGAGCTAGGTACAGGCTCGTCTTAGTAGGGATGGATCTGAGGTTCTGTTTAGCAGGCTGTGAAGCACGAACAAACCCCGGGTAAACAAGCTTCCGAACAGGAAATGAAGCGAAAAACTAGTTATCCTCAGACCGAAACAACAACCGGTCATTCGCCCGGTTGGAACACTGCCATTCTGATAACATATGCTAGAGCGAGAGAAATATCTCTCTGTTTGTTGCTAATTTACGCGTCTATACTACAAACAAGCAACTTTTAAAACATTGTGCTGGTAGCGTTTTTAACTTATGCTTTTGTATGTAACTAAAGCTTTGTCTATGCAAACGATATTGGTGTGGCAAGACACTGACATTAATCGGAAGCTATCGGTAATTGCTTTATTTCGATTTTTAAAAGTGTTTCCTTCGCCGAAGGTGAACTCGAAGCGTAGCCCTTGCTATCAATAACATAACAAGGCATATCGCATCGTAAAGGAGATACGAAATAAGCCTATCAGTTCGTTTATGATATAGTTTGACGCGATATAGATTGACTATATAGTTATATCGTCAAATATGCCCTGACAGAAATACTAATTTCTTCGAACATTGTGTTTACATATGTAACTCAAGATTGATGCTGTCATTACGCCATAGTATAGCCCCCTCCGAACGAGATTTTCTCTAAATCTACGCTAAAATGCGTAGGTTGAAAGGGAAGTTATTATACATAGATGTACCTATTCGCTTAGAGCGTGCCCGTTGACGAGAAAATTCTTCTTACGTAGTTTTTATATCAACATAGTCTGGTTATAGGGGAACTTTCTTGGGACAGGTGTAAACTTGCGCATCTAAGGAAAGTGAGCACATGGAAACAGAATGCTACCTGTTATGTAACTGTTTGTCTACTGATCAATTAGAGATCGATGTTTAATCTGCGAAAACGTGCTTCCATTCCGCGTAGATTACGCTATACAAACATTCAAATCTGACCTTATTGAAGCCGAGTTGAAATGAATTTAGATATACATATATATCCAGGAGCTATAAGTCAAGCTCGGATTCATCGTGTTCTGTTCTACCAACCGTCCGAAGAAGAGCGAGATCGCATACTTTATCGTTGACATTGAATTACCAAAAGTCAATGTCAACGATAGAGTCGATTTGTGTGCTGAGTTTTGAGCACCGAATTGATACACCGGAGAAGCCCGACAGCTGTTTTCCGAAACACATTGAGAAAAGACGAAACATCAGTTGCTGTCGTGGCTCTGCGAGAGGGCATAGAGTTCGACGTAAGAGTAAAGGTTGAGAAGACAAGACCCGTACAGTGAAACTGAAAAGCTATACTGCGAACCCTCCAACCGTATGCCCTCCGTCAAAGTATCGCCCTCAGTATATCGATCATGGCGCATCAACCACCGAGTCATCGATGGGGGTTGGTAATGCATGTTGCGGGAACGATGGTGAATCGATGGATTCACCCTCAATGAAGATACCAAACTAGTCCAGAGGAATCGCAACTAGTCCTGCCAAAAGCAGTCTAGACTCCGATGTTCCTAAGTTGTCATTGGTGCTACCCGAATATCAGCAGAACCGAACGCCGACTAATAGTATGCTTTTTCCCAACAGGAAAATATGTGTTGCAACATGAGCCTGCAAGCGTTTGCGACGCGTGTTGGTTTGTGGAGGAGAACCACGGAAACGCGTCCCTCTTCACTTTGTTCATCAGAAATCAGCGAATCCTGGCTAGGAGTGAGCATTAACCCTATAGGGCAAGGTGAACGGCCGTTATGACTACGAATATTGTTACGACAATAAGCTTCGAACCGTTGGTGGGTCTGGATACCTGGGTCTATTGCCATGGGCCTATACAGGATACCCCGGTCGCGCCGAAGACTAGCGGTTGAGCTATATGTTAGTCGGCTTGGGAATGCCACCGTGCCGGTACACAAAGAAATCACGTGACTACCAAAGTCTAGGGAGAGAAATCTAAAGTTCTTGACGCTAGAGTATATCGACTGCGAGATGGATGAGCTATTAATTCATTTTCTCATCTAACTCGTCGGTTTGGCACACTTTAATCAAGGTATGTTTTTACATCATGATGGTAATGTACTGGTTTCCCTTTCAGTTGGAAATAAGACTTTCCGTGGTGCTAAAATCTTCCCGAACGCGTGCTAAAACAGATTCCTACAGTAAACTCTACTAATTGACGCCAGCTACTGTGTTATCAAAAAAATGGTCCGTATATATATATATATATATATATATATATTATAACAAAACCACGTGCTGCGGATCGTTTGCAGAGTAGCACTAAAGAGAAATATACATAACTTGACTGTAGTGTTGAAACTACGCTATTAAAGTTGTCTGTTTGTAAGATTGTTGCCGAATCTTCATCGGTGGATGCGAAGTCAAACATGCAGAACGAGAGTTGAATAACTTAAACTTATCAGGAGTATGTGACGAACGATTGCCTTCAAATATCATGCACAACTAAGCACAATACCTTCCAAAATCTTGAGAAACTTATTTGATTTCTCCACTTACGCGTTTGACCTGTCGCTTTCACAATACCATGCCTGGTCATCAGTAAGCATTATGTTTAGTGATAAACTTATTTTGCTCAAGCGTCAAAGATGAGCGCCACACTGGGGCTATACAAGATAAGCCCGGTTACACTCGATGGAGCTGATTGCACGTAAATTAGATTACTAAAACCATCGTAAAACAAATACTAAAACGTTGGTAAGAGCCACTGAGTAAATGTTGTGCGCTTTAATTAGGACTTCCAAAAACTACCCGGTTGGTTCACTACCGCTGTTATTGACATTGCCATAAAGCCATAAACATGGAAACACCTGTGCACGCTAAGATGAAGGCTGGGACCTGAATGACGTGGCAAGAGGTGTTGATGGCGCCTAGTATAAAAGAACGTCTGGCACATAACAGCGAGTTAGAAACAAGCTGCAGATTTCCTTTTCGAAGCTAGAAAAATAGCATTAGCCTGGTAGCCCGTACTCTTTACGCAATCGATATGGCGCTAGTGGTAAATTTGCAAGCTGTAGAATCGGACCTAAATTTGACCGTCAATATTCGTCGGTGTGTAACAGGCCTTACAGACACGGCAACTAAACCCCGAGATACATGCTAGATTAGTAGCCTGTATCTCGGGGTTTGTCCACACGCGTAAAAAAATTTAATGTGATTGGATTACGGTTGTTTGTCATGGGGGTTGTCCCAGTTAGCTTCAAACATAGCAAACGAACATTGAGTTCGAGGGGTATTTCGACAATTGCGTGGGTTGATCCGGATGAACTGATTCGGGAAGAGGAACGATCAGTCAGGAAAGGCATGATACTAGCCAACATGATGGTATATTTATGTACGAAAAACACGGAAAGATGAAAAAATTGCTGATTTAGCCGTTACGCGTACATCATTGGCGTGTTGAGATCCAAACGGACCATCGTAATATGACTATTTGGTTTTTTATTTTAAAATATTTTTTTGCATTCAGTTTATACATGAATAAATGAATTGTATGAAATTAAAAGCTATCAAGAGCTATGTAGCTTAATAAGGTCTAAAAGTAGCTTATTCTGTACCAAAAAAAAGCGGCCACAGGAATCACTCTTGAAATAGTTCTCTGGGATGGTGGACACACAGTTGTATTAGACAAAACTCAACAGTTTAGCCTTCTTGTTGCTGTCATATATATATACATATATATAGAAGCACCTATTGGCTGCACATCAGTCGCTACTAGCATTCTGGAACAACGGCTGGCCTTTTTTGCTACGAGAAGAAAAGGTTCCCTGGGGGCTCTTCCGAGAAACCCTTCTTGCTTATGGCCATAAAGTGACGCTAGCGGCCAGGCTCGTTGGCGTCAAAAACTATACATGACAGCGCGTCCACATTCGTTATCTTTACACGTATTCAATCAACATAACTGACAGTGATTATATAAACTTTGTCGTCTGGCCAGAAGGGCGCACAGAGATTGTAAAGCTGTTTGGCTAACGCTTAACCGCTTGTCCAGCGATGAAGTCCGCTTTCAGTTCATTTTAGGACCATATGTCGGAAAATCTATGCTTTGAAGAGTCGGAATTATTTCGAGCTGTAAAAGACCCTTCTTCCGGAGTCAAGACCAGTACTCGCAAGCAAAGAGATCTGAGCAACGAATTCTCAAAACAAGGCATTGTTCTGACACTACCCCAAACAAGGCAGCTGAACGCAACCTGATCAGAAACAGAGCACCTGCAGGAAAAGCTCATACTGGCTCTTCGCTAGGCGGTATCGTTCAACGACTGCCCTCGTACCGATTCGTTTCTTCCATAGTAGTTTGAGGTCATCTTTCTCGTTTTCCCCAAAAGGCAACGGTAACGCTGATAAGCGATACGTTATAATTAAAGAAAACAACACGGCTTTAGACAGAACCACTGCTCCATGACAGGGTGCTTTACGCTGTTAGACGACATCAAGCGCACTTCGACGAAGTCGTCGCAAACATTATTTGCAGCGCTAGTGGATGCGAAGCGGCCATCGATTCAGCCCTTTAGATCACTTGGCTAAGGATACCGACAAATGTAGGTATATCACCAAATATCCTAAACTTATTGGTATCTATCCTACAGGGAAACAGGATCAGGATCGACGATGGAGTTGTCCTTCTTCTCCCAAACCATACGATTAGCTTGAGGAGATAAACTTAGTTGGTTACTGTTCTCAGTCTTAGGATCTGCTTGGTATGATTCGGGGCAGACGCGGCCTTATCCTATCCAGATCTAGTCATCTACGGGTGTAGCCAGTTCTAGGTAAAGCAATCCTTGATCAAGCTGTTCGTTGCTTCTTGTGGTGTGTGTGTGCTATGAAGTTTAGTCGTGATTATTTTATTGTATATATATATATATATATATATATATATATATATATATATATATATAATATTGCCTCCGAGTATGGCTTCTCCACCAAATGTGCCGGTTCTCCACTTTTCTACACGAATGAAATCCCATATATCGGTCACTCCCAACTACTAAAAACACTTGCCTCAAGGATAGAAATAATCTGATCGGGACAAAATCGGACAGGCCTCCAGTTTTTCAATAGCTTGGAGGTGTGTTGTTTCTAAAGAACTGTATCTCTTTATTGTACGGCTCGGAACAAACTCCTTTACTACCGTCCACATTCATTAACGAGCCAAGGAAACGCTTGGGCCATTCTGCGATGCCCCTTCAACGACATGCTCGCAACTTGGAACTACGAATCTCCGAGATCAATTCCAAATTTGTAAACTTAGGAGCAGTCAGCGATGATGTGTGGAAGAAAACAAAACAATCTGATAGAAATGTTGTGACGAGCTTAATAGTTCAGGGATACTATGACAAACTCTACAATTCGGTAGGATGCCATGGACGTGGCTTTGTTTGTGTTGACCCATTGCAAACTTTTTCGTGGGAAATATTAGTTGGGCGATTGTGCATACGTAGCCCCATAGGGCAGTCTGAATTAGAAACGAATCGATCTGATATGCGATCCTACTCGCTTATTCCCTGGAGCTGTTCGGACTCGATCCTACCTAGAAATTCCCTTATATGTGGTACACACAAGTGCGTAAATAGAATTGATATATATATATAGAGAGAGAGAGAGAGAGAGAGTTATAGCCGTTGCCTATTTAGCGCTATTTAAAGACTAATAACAAATTCAGATATACAGCGTGCTTGAGTTTCAACATTCATTGTGGTTCTTTTGCTGGCATATAGATAAGTTAAGGCTTGGTGGGCAGTGAAAGGTAGAATAGGTTTTCTCGGTTTTTTTCAAATGTGATCGCTAAACAAATCTTCCAGTCTTTATTAGAAAAGTTTGGTGCGACCCAGATAATGATAACCCAGGTTTTCCCTTTTGATGGGTCGTGTTGGGTAATATGTTACCACAAATGCAATTTTGATACCATATCAAAAAAGCCATTATTCTTGTTGTGTTCAACTCTTATTCCAACCGTACAACATGACCGATTCAACGTATCATATTAGGGCACCAAAAACGCCTCCTGTTAACAGCCATTGACTAACTAGCCAGTAACTAGCACCAACTTTAAACTGTAAGAAACTATAACCCAGTTAGAATTTTGTTTACGAGAAAAGTTTGCGACGAAATGGTGCAATTTTGGTCGATAGGGGGATAGATCTGCTGCATCTATCCTCCTATTGACTCCCAAGAGAATCGCATTTTCCGCGAAAGCTGGCTTTTGTAACGTCCGCTGAGGGGATGCTTTCTATACAAGAGAAGCTCGGAAGTCTCGGTTAATTCAGGAGCGTTCGTTAGCTGAGCTTCTAGGTTAGATGGTACACGCTTTATTTTTGGCTTAGCATTACTATACTTTCCCAATTCGTGATTAACTAGAAAGCAGAAATTTATTACTATTCTTTGGTTATATAGTGAAATAAAAACATTTTAAGACATCCGCATTTGCTTCATACCATATACTGAATATAGAAATAAGGCAAGGTTAGAACGTACAAGTAGCAGGCGTTACTTCGGATCAGCAGAATTCGACTTTTTTTAAAGTAGTCCATATTCGTATGAGCGTTTTCGGTTAACGTAAAATATATATATTTTAAATGTTAATTACCGTATATTTAAATGAAGCTACAGCTATATTGTCGTACGTCACCAGTCTGTTTTGCATCTAATTAAAAAAAATCAAGCTTATATTAAAATAAAGAGCACATTAAATACAAAATGAGATATCTTTTTTGAAACAAGCTAAAAACAGCTTACAGATATATAAACAAGTTCCAAATAATAAAATCGGTGTTGATAACATTTTTAGGTAACATCTTACGTAATAGCTAAAATGTTGTACGAAGGTGGTGTAAGGTATTTCAAGTAACTCTTATGGGAGACAGTGTGATACAGCCTTTAAGGTCATACCCTATCTAAGCTACTTAACTATCTAAACCTCTTCTTACGCTACAGGAGCTATACTCAAGTGATCGAGCAAACGTATGGACTAAGGGCCGGCATCGAATAGCAAGGCGTGAATTGGGCTGGTCAATAATTTGCCAAGCAATCAATAGTGGGAGCATTATTAAGCAACGGCTCTATAGCCAAGCCGAGCTTATACACTATATGCGATCTTAAGTCTTACCAAACAAGCTTAAGCTTCACTAAGGAGTGTCTTGATGCATTGCTAGAAACCTCATAGTTTAACACTGATCCTATGAAGAAGGGAAATCCTTAATTTTCAACCTTTTATTATGTGTAGTCCTAGAAATCAGACAAGTGGGGCGGACCTCGAGAGTCTAGACATGCTGAATGATGAACACATTATTACAGGGTGTCGTAGCACATAGACTAAATGTTTGATTATTCTTTATGTGGAAGAACTTCGGTGTACAATTTTTTGTTATGCTAAAATATTTGTGTAGTTTTACAGACAACATCTCCAACTCTCAGAAGGCCTGCGACATCGGCCTTGCAGCAAACTGCACGTAATCCTGTTCCTGATGAAATTCACGGCCGAGAAGATGTCAGTTAATCTACGTCCTAGTTAAACTTTTACGAATATGCAAAATGTTTTAAAGCTAGAAGTAAATCTTTAGGGAGCGTTAGAGTTCAGTAAGCGAACGATTCTGCTTCCAATGGAATAGTACTCATTGTAAATAAAAAAAAGGAAAACAACCAGCAGTAGTTAGTCCCATAACGAAGACTGTTGCCTCACCATGCGTAACTCTTTAGCTTCCAAATAAAACTGCTTTCCCTAGGACTTTCTAGTTTAGCTGGACTTAAGAGTAATAAGCTTAAAGTTAAGGGTATGTCACCTCGTCTCCAATGACGTTGGCTAAGATAAATTTAATTGTGAGACGCAGTAGGATTACATTTTTTAACATGACTTTAGTGCCATTGTAGAAGTAACCGAGTTTCTAGCTGAATTGCATGTTTAAAGATTATTCGCCCAATATGCTGGTAGAATAGCCATCGCTAGCCATGACCTACGTTTCGTGCAGACAATGGAAAAAGTGCTATAGGTTTTTCAAGAACCAAGCTGTTCCCAGATCTTTGTCGCGATCGAAGTCACTAAATAAGATCGACAAAATCGATTTTCGTTCTTCTTTCCTATCACTTCGTTATTCTTGTGCAGCTTGCTAACGGAGGGGTTAAGTATCATTCGGTTAGCCTTCTGGATTATTTTCTTTAATGAAAACCTTTTTCAATGAAGTAGCCTTCATAGGCTAAAAATACTTCTAAAATGTATGTACCTATTTTTTGTAGATATTAGGTGCGTTATGATTACTTGCTACTTGACCATTTGTTTTCTGAACAAGGCTGAAAACTGGACAATTTGAGAAGCTCTCAGGCAATACTATTTTGAAGTTGAAAAATTGATCGTAATAAATTGTAACTTAACCTTACTATTTGACCTTCTACAGTTTATTTACTTGACAGGCTCAAATATTTTATAATTGAACAGTCTCTTAATCAAAGAAAAAAAAGCAAATTTTGCTGTCTAATATGGCGGTCGTCTACATGCACACACCCCTTCTTCATCTTTCCTGTTTAAACAGTATTACTGACGCGGTTACGCATTTCGCGAAATGACGTCTCTCAGCTGACTTTTTTCACTTCTGGCGAAATTAATTTCAGCCCCCCCCCCCCATGGTTCGCATCCAGAACTACTTCGCTGACCAAGCTTCATTACCCCTTAAGGATTGAGCTCGAGTTTTGCAAGATCTTGTACGTACATATATATAATAAACGTTGGCTCTTTTTTTTTTAAAGGACCAATAGATGCTGACGGTTGACATCGAACAATACAAACAATAAGCATGTCAGTTGAATATTAGTTACATGAACTTAAAGTAAAAGTCGTGACTTACTTGTGTTTGCCTAACGTTAGATGCACCCAATGCAATTCAGTTCTGACACCGATCAATGACGTGATTTGTATGCTTGGGCAGCTGGATGTATTCCTGGAAGAAGGCCACACGAAACACTTGAGATGCACATATTCAAGTATACGTTACGCTGGCAAAATTTCGAGCCAACTCGACGATCGCCACTTGATCCCGTTGATGAGCATGGCGTTCCCCTTAAGAAAAAACCGCAGAATAATTGTGTTAGCCACATAATTTTACTGCGTCGCATGGTTATCAAGCAAATAAGCAAAACACTTTTCAGAAAAACATAGGTTTTCAAAAACTCCAAGTTCCTTTCAACTTATTGCTGCGAAGCCGGTCGCATGCAGTACGTAATGTAGCCTGACACGAAGGGGTCAGTCGTCTCTGATCAAAACTGCGATACTCAGTTAACAGATTAACATGAAGATTTTTAAGGAACTGCGTTTTCCCTGTCGCATTGGTATCGCGTAAAGTTCACCGCGGTGAATTTGTTTTCGACAAGTTCTTTAATCTGACAAGGCGATCTTGGTCGAGGAAACTTGGGTACACATTTGCCCAACATAGTATTCTAATTTTTGTAACGGCACTGATCAGTCCGCAGAATTCACAGAGTAGAGCTTTGTTTCCCGACATGGACCGATCACTGTATAACGCAGTCCTATCGTTTTCGTTGTTCTTTAATTTTTTCTAAACCTGAATAGCATAGATCTTCCGAATTCCTCAATGGATCAGCCACAGTTAAACATTAGAATAACGAAATGTCGCTATAGGCTTCCCTTCGTATATCCGTCGATCGAGTGCAGTTCCTGTTAGAAGTGAGAAACAGCCTTGTTTTGCATGACCTTACCTTATACGCGATGATCCTTACTATACGCGACTTATAAACCATTCAAACCGATTCGAAGTAGTATTAAAAACCATCAGGCCATCAGACTAGAGAGAAAGAAGTATGAGCATTTTCGGGTTTTACTTATGGAACACGTTGATTGAACTCCCACAGTACGCTTATAGATGAGAACCCGGTAAGATAACAACCATTATCTTTCTCATAGGCGACAGCTTTGTTGTAATTGGTAAGTTTGAAATACGCTTTCCTCTCACTGTTATGCTGGACTCAACGCATAGTTGCCTTATGGCGCCGCGCAGAATCTTGCTGACGGCCCATCTACTTTGTGTCGTTGTCAGCATTTTACTGGGATTGACAATTTACTTCTATTTGGAGATCATCAGCAGATCCCGAGGGTATAAGCGCGAGCTTGACTTTGTGTCCATAGGTGCTAGTCATCTATAGACCAAGAGGAAACGTCTGGTCAACTGGGGAAAAGGAGTGGCTCGCTAAGCTAAGTTACAAGAAAAAAGCTAACGAGAAAAGAATCATTATGTTCATTGGATCAAAAGCAGCAGGGTTCAAGTACGGGTTTAGACGCATGATAGCAATTCACGACGGAGAGTATTATATTATTATTATTATAGAGACTGTATTTGTCTGCAATAATCATGCCAGTGAAATTTGACTTAATTCAAACACAGTTACCTGATTTATTAAGCTAATAAAACGGCAAAAAACAGAGACAAATCCTCAGATACTTGAATCTGTCACGAGCGCACGGGTGTGCGTTCGATGCAAACCATTTCACCGACCAGCAAACGATTAACTAATAAACGGGGCGAAGAGCACGAGACTGCTGACGAAAGCACTTACAAATGTAAGGCTTTACTAATATTTTGTACTAACCACGCAATAATTAAAAACAGTTATTTTATTGTAAATATTTTTGATTCACATAATACCAACGTATACGTTAGGACGATAGTATCACGATTTCGGTTTCCCTCACTGGAATTTCCTGTGGGAACCCTGTATACGTACAAAAAGGCTCCGTAAGAGAACACCGATAGCTACACTCGTAGGTGCCTCCCATCTGTTGCGCGCTGCTGTTCATCACGACAAAGTACAAAAAAAATTCATCGCGCTTTTCGGCCAGTCGAAAAACACCAGTTCCTTGTAAAAGCTATCGCACGGACTAAAGCCTTCTATGATGATTGTATATTCCTTTCTGGAAGGCCGGAATGCCGATAAGGGGCATAGTCAATAATACGAATCCATTTACGACGACAACAACAAAAAACACGGCGACAGCTGGAAAGGAGCCAAATCGAACGATCCTTGCAACAGTTCTATTGGCGGCCGACCATGAGTATCAATAATAATTGAATTTTTCCATCGGTTTCTGTAGAAGTTAACCTCCATTAGCCGTCCCAGCTCGATCGAATAATCGCGTTGCGCAATGGCAGCAGTACACATTAAATTCGATCATCCCTTTTCCGAACGTCCTGTAACAAATTCAGATCACCAAAATAAACCGATAGGTGCTCTTTGTCTTGCAATGTAACTTTCGTCCAAGACCGTTAAAACTCTCCGAGCCGCATACTCGGTGTTAACGTTTGGCCATGAAGGGACCTTTTACGTCTGAGCCAAGTGCTAGATACCATACAATAAATACGTATCTATCTGAACATCTATTGAAACATACAGTTCACACCTGCCTCATTCGTGGACAGTTTGTTCAGCCTGGTGGCAAATATGTTTATATGGTTAGTCCATAGACCGTGTTATGTTTCCTCCGCGATTCTTTGCCACTGCATGTTGACACATAGAGAAAAACTCGCTTCGTAAAAAAGCATTAACAGCAACGTCGAGTAGAACACCGCGCTGGAGCGGTCTTAAGAATAGTAGATGCATGTTTGTTTGTTCCCTACTGAAGAATGACACGGTATGGATATAGGAATCGCTTAAATAAAGCAAACTAAAAATGCTTCCACACAGCTAATAAATCGTATTGCTGATGATCGATCATAAGCTTGAAAAATATTTCTGGAAATAGACAGTTTATCTTCAAAGATGATAAAATCATTTATCTATAACAAAATCCCTAATAGGAAAAGTCTATTATATCTTAGCAATAGAAATAAGCAATCACAGAAATCAACTGCGCGAAAACGAGACAGCAGTAATTACGAACGATGGCATACCTGTTGAAAGTAAGCAATAGAAAGGTAATTCATATCGAATTGTTGCTACTTGCTCAACTCAAGAATTATGAGGTATTATTAACGGTTATAATTGATTGGTACACACGTTATTTTATTATGAAATGGCTTGAGCCGTAACGAAAACTACATACCTCGTCGTGTGCTTACGGTCATAGTAGAGATCGTTCTTCGAAAATATTCCGCGTCCAATCCCCACAGCAGAACTCTGTCGAGCATTTTTTACATTCTGCTGCCATTCGCATCATGCGACAGCATCTAGTTCTTGTAGTGATAACGTTCGTATATGATTATAAGATGGTTTAGGCAGCCGTTCAATGAACTGATAGATGAACGTCAGCCTTTCAGGGTACTGAGTTATAAAATCAGCGACTCAACCTAACAACGACAAGATTGTTGAAAAGACATTCGCACCAAAGGCGACCACTTCAATATGGAGAATAAGTAAAGGCTTGGTTTTTAACTGTAAAACAAAGAAAGGCCCCGTTCACAGATTTCTAAGCTGAAATTGCTAGGATAAGCTCTAGATTAAAGCAGGTGTAGGCAGACCGTATTTCGTTAATTCAATAAAATGCTGAAACGATACAGGGTGGCTAAAAGGTCGCCAGACTGCAAGATCAAAGCGACTTGGAGTTATCATAGAAAAATTTCGAAATATTATAGATCCTTGTAATAAGCATTCTAAATAGTATCTGACTTATCTGAACAGTCTATATATATGAAAAAAAGGCTAGCTTATTTAACAAATTTAGTTATAGAAAAGTACTAACATGAAAAAGAAAAAAAAAATCAAAGACAAAACGTCGTTGTCATTTGAAATAACGTTCAGCTGCAAAACCTTATACCTGTAACCCATTTACACGTTTGTTGACTACGCGAAACCACAATGCCAGGTTTCCACCGGTTGTCACCCCCTGCGAATGACTCTGCGGTGTCGTGCCGGACCTTTTTTTTTGTTAGAATAATTAGTGTATAACAATTGCTGAAGTTTCTCATAGCTATTCACGCCTGCTCCGCTTCTCGCCAATGTAGTACTATGATTTTTAGTCTTTGTGTCTATACAAATCCTCCTCCAATGTTTTCAGCGATCTGATGGCTCTGAATTGCACCATCCCTCTTGATCGCCTACGATGATACACATGGGGTCTGTATGTGCCATTTTTTGACCGGTTTTTAAGTAAATGTGGGAAAATTAACTTTGAGAATAGGGGCTGTTATTACTTGAATTGTCGTTCTTGCTGTGGGCGTTACCCCTTGTATTTTTACTCTTCAGGTGCATAAAATGGCCAACTGATCGCTTGAAAGTGGGTCGCTTCAATATCAGAACATATAGTAAAATCTCTCCTAACGTAAACAAGGCCAAGATTAAACAGCTCGAAATTGACTTCGATTGTAGAACTTATATCAGCCAACTCGCATTGTCCATAAGTAACATTGTAGAGGAAAACTCATTTTTATAGGCAACATACAAAAAAAAAAGTACATTATATACAGAAATATGCACAGCATTCTGAGAATAACCCATTTCTAATAAAATTTCATGTACATACATGCCTTTATGATAGGTTTGTTTGTGCTACGAAACCTAAAAATGCTAACCCTCTTCATCGAGTTTGTGGCATGGTGAGCAAGAAGCTGGTAAACCTAAGCGGACATACTCTACTGTGCATTTAAAGTAGAACTTGAAAGGTTTTCAAGTGAGTGCGCATCCAGTTGAATAATATATTCAATAAGTCGGTAGCGCAATACAGATATGATCTTATAACGTTCACCTATTACGGTGTTTTATAGAAATGACACTAAGGATCAGATCCAGTGGTAGAACGAAAACTAACGATTCACAAACATAATCACCTATACGATTCGAGTAAAACCAAGCTCAACCATGATCAAATAGATGAAGCAGCTTTTTACAATTTGTATTATTAAGGCATTTAGTTAATATGTTGTTCTACTCATTCACACATGTATGTACACAGGTAGATCGTTGAATCGCAGCCTTAGGCAGAGTTTCACAATTATAATAATAGTAGAATAGCACTAGCGTAGAACAGGAATAAGATAAGAACCCGAAGTAATTTCTCCTCTTTTCAGTCTGCCGAACGGTTTCTTCTGTTTTATCGAAGTATTTTGTTTCGAAGAATCGTCATCGCAAAGAAGCGAGCAAAAACCGAGAAGATTAGGTAGTGGCAGTATATCTTGCTATCGCTGCGGCCGTTGTTGTAGTGAAGTATTGATTAGAGTGACTCAGAGCTTGTCGAATCTGGCACTCAGAAGTCGGCTTCAAAGGTTCTAGAGTGTGGCTATGATAGGACGGCATCTAACTCCTGAAAGCGATCCGGCCTTCTCTTGCTCCTGACAGAACTATCCCTTGTCTTACACAGTGAACCAGATTCTCCCTTTCCCCATTTCCCTGGTGCATGATCATTTCAAGCGCTCCCCCATTTTCCTTCATTTCCACTTGCGCTGCTTTCATGATAGAGAAATAAAAGTCTGGTTCTACTATTTCGTTCGTCGCTTCGACTAAAACAGCAACCCAAGGAGGAAAGTGGTTGTTTAGGCCAAAAACCGAGAGCACCTAGATCGGTACCAATCCAGCACGATTTTTGGATTATTTCGGTTTAGATCGATTTGCCCCTGAAACGAAGAAAAAGACAATGGTTTTGTATGTTGGCCACCGCATTATTTCGTCGACGTTATAAAGCATACGCACATGCCAATACGCAGTCTTTTTCTCATCCGTCTAGAACGGTGCCTCACACACGGATCTTCCTTTGTTTATTGCATGACCAAAAGGCTGTTGGGCGCCGTTCCCACGGCGAAAAAACTTACCAGCAGCGGTTTCCTCACTCTACAATACCTGGACGAGTCGCACACGTTAAAAAAATAAACAAGCAAAAAAGGCCTAAGTCTTTTCAAAGCCAAGTGAAGTCGAGTGCGCGCTCACTCTTTCTTTCTTTTTATCGTTGATAGTAGTTCGCAGGCGGCCATTGATTTTCTCAGAATTTCTCTTAAATTGTTATCGCTGACTTCTACAGTCGACTTCTTTATGTTCAAAGTTCCATCTCGAATCTACCCATTTAGGACAGATATCGTCCTAGGTCAGATAGCCACTCAAACCGAACCCATCCGTCACTCAAATCGTGCAGGCAGAGCCTTTGATAGCCTTATAGCTGCTTTTCGTTGATGTTTCTCTAACGGAGTCCGCTTTGGCGCAGAAGACGGGTCTGCATTTTACTAGCAATGAAGGGGGCACCTGTCGGTATTTGCAGGCGTTTTAAATGGAGTAAAAAGGGAAGGTGGAAGCAAAACCCCGTCGCGTAGGGGGCTCACTATAAGCCTTTCAACCCAGCTTGGTTTAGTTGTACAGCAAGAGGCAAGCTGACCTTTAAGTTCCATCTAGGTACTTTAGAAGATGATAAATGCATTCGAACGACTTCCGTTTGCATTTGTTGCTTGTAGGACCTAACACTTAGTGTCACCAACGTGGAAGTTAAGTAGTTCAAAGTGTATACTTATTAACACTTCTAAAGTAAAAATTAAAGATGTAATTGAAATGCTATTTCAAGTTTTAAAATTCGTAGCCTGTTATAATAGTTCAATATCGTCCGCCGGAGCGAACTTTTCTGGAGAACACTCTTATACTTTCGGACATGCACCTTCTTTCAGCGGCATGGATATTTTAAATAGCATTAGCGGTAAGCTGTTTGCTTCATGATTTAGAACACCTCCTGCCTGATACTAAGTGGCATTGACTTGCACCTCAGACGTGTACCTGTAGGTCACAGATCTTAAGCCACGATTGCAAAGTCACATATTTCTTATGAGTTTGAGATCTAGACTTTATTATGAGACTGGCACTAATTAATAATTGTAATACGTGACTAGAATTTTTGTTTGTTTGTAACCGGTAAGTTTAGTGAGATTTTGCTATCCAATTCTGACTAGGTATAGGCAACATGAAAAAATATTTTCTCAGTCTTCCGTGCAAACATGTCTTCCGAATTATCTCTTGGATTTTCTCACTGACTGGCAAAAGGTACTATGCTAAATAAATTTACCCAGAATCTCCTCAGTAGACCTACAAGATCCCAGAATCACTAAAGTAGCAGCTCTTGTAGCTGTTACATGTTATTAATGTCTGTCTCTTTTTCTCAAACCTTTACCATCATTGGCCAGCGCTAAGATTTATACCGGTATTGGCTAGCTTATTCGTTGCTCATAGCTATCGTTATGAGCCTTTTGGGAGTATTTGTGTTAGTCACCCAGAAAACACTGTCCCACCGCCTAGCGTTTTGCTTTACGTGCCGCATCTAAAATCATCTCAAGGTGAACCTAAAGATCGACCTTTTCCATTTACTTGCAAACGCGCGCCCCAAAAATTTGCGTGGACGTCTGAATGGTACACGTGTATTACTTATTGGCAGTACGTTGTGGTACAAGCTTTGAACATATGGAAGCTTGCGCTTTCAGCCAGGGCAGTCTTTCTCTATTTTATGCGATAAATCCTTAATCATAGATAATGTCGTCATCAATTATGTTTGGTCTGACTGGGGAACCCCCTAAATAGTGATTCGCATTTCCGCCTTTAACGTGGCGAAACTGCTTCGGATCGTCTCAATGCATCCCCCAGTAGCGACGACGATTACAAGCGAAACTTTTTTGTAACTTAATAAGTTAATTTGTTCTGGCTAAAAATGTACTCGTGTTTTTCGCTAACCCATCGCCCTGACGAACATAAAAGATTTTCACGATCAAATAAACACATTTATGATATATACGCTTTACAAACGAGTACAAATAAAAGTACCAAACAAATTAATGGTTTAAAGAAACATATCGTATGTGAATCGCCTTGACCTTTATTGATGTTGAGATGCATGACAACGCTAGCCAACAGAGTGACGCCATGCACGCGATATATATCTATACGTTATTGTCTACCCGAGTTGCGAAATTCACACTTCTTAATTAGAACTTGGTTTTATTGGTAGACGTATGTAAAAAAATCAAGCCTTTTATGTTTCGTGTCTAGCTGTCTAGAAAATAACCCGAAACAACTATTTAAAAAATGGGTCGAACTTGTTTCGTAATGGGTTTCATAAAGACTAATGATAACATTGGCTCATTTTAGCCGTTTGCATCTGTGTTCATCTTTATTTTAAGTGTTTTTTATCAAAGACACTTTTGGGCAGTCAGGCTTGTCACAAGACTAGCTTATTCCTAAGAACTAATCTGGCCGGTGTGTTAGAGTCTCAGAAACAGATCCATATAAGAAAAATACTGCCGCTTTCATGTTAATGTCACTTTGACGATGTAATCGTACCGCGTCAACGTCTATGTGTCGAGTTTTACGTTCGGCGTTTAGTCAGACGGCTGGTCCGGATCAAGACGCATTTATGCCTGGACTCCAATCTAGACCATACCGTGTCCCTAATATTAGAAGCCAAATACCATACTCATTACGCTAACACAGAAATTGATTGACTCTGAAAGCAACTCAATGTACTTGAAAAGATTTAGCATTCTATAGCCATCCTGTCTAGGGTTCTGCGATATGATATAACCACCTGAGAACTTAAACTAATGCTCACTAGAAACTTAGGCCTGAAGTTTGATCAATTAATATCAATTATAGTTTAGCTCCGACAACTTCAAAATTTCAAAGTCTCAGCCATGACGTAACGAAGCTAAATAAATGCGTTGATGCTCCACCGGTCAACAGTCAAAAGATATTCATTCAGCGCTAGCGATTACTGAGCGACTGACTTATCGAAAGTAGAGACATCAATTAAATCCTGGCAAAGCCCACTAACTGTCCAGTGTTTTTCGTGAATATAGCCTTTCTGCCTGATAAATCAATGAGTAGGGAACCTATTTATTAACCAAAACAGTAGCAGTATGGATCAATACACAAAATGGTACCGTTACTTATCCTACGAGACTAACGTAAGCTTGTTCCCTTGCATAAGCGATTATTAGAACCAAACCATACCGCGGACCGCTGTTTTTACAAAAAAAAAAATTACCAGCTTACCTTATCTCAAACTAACTCCGGTAAAATGAAATTCCGTTACATTAAGGCGCAGAATGACTTCTTTCATGGTATAGTGGGCCTCAAGTTGTTTTTAGATTAGCTTTAACACTACATTGTTACTCCTTTAAAGGAAACCAGTCTACTTTCAGCTGGACTCTACCGCTCAATTTTATACAAAAAAGACGTGTCTCACAAGTTAATGTTATTCTTTAACATAGCATGGTGAACCATGTTTAAAGGAAAATGTTATAGCTTTTGGCACCTAATCCTTTTTATCATCTTTCTTTAATCCTCGTACTTCTTACAGCTCTGTACCGCGTTCTCTCTGTAAATCAGTTTAGAAAGACCGAAGCCTAGAACGCAGTCAAATACTCTCCTGTGAGCATGTATTTCATAGAACCTATATGTTTAACCGTTTTATATTGCTGTCAATACATACACGTTTAGAGATCACATATTCAGCAAGGGCGAACGTTTCATCCTATCTAGTTCCATCATCAACAAGAATAATAAGCTTTTATCAAGCTTTTTACAAGTGGTCTGACGTCGCGCGGTAATAGCCTTGGTAATAGCTAGCTTATGATTAAATGGTAAGGGAAATCCAAGCCATGACTTGGTGTCCGATGGACATGGCCGTAGAGAGACACAATAGATTTATAACGTTTTTGCAATTTTTCTACCTGTCTCTGTCAATTGCAGTGTACTGAACTGAAGCGTCCATGTGCCATATGTCGACATAAATCATCAAGCATCATTTGCCTGCGTCGTCAACAGCCTCCCAACTGTCTCTATTCATTTACAGCAGCGGGACAAGGAGATGTAAACATGTCGTCTTTCAAACCAAATTCCTTCGAAGTAGTTATTTACTACCAGAAGTGGACATCCAATTCAATCATCATTGAACGGGCATCCATATCCGGAAACGTCAAGCAAAAATAGCGGTCATACTCTGTTCTGTTCGCTTGAAACACGCTGCGGGCTACTTACCGTGGCACCTATTGATCAATACTACTACTACAACTGGCCCTAATCTTATCTCTGCCTTATATTTAATGATATTGTTCGACATTAATCAACAATAAAACATACGCAAAGGATGACATCGCTACCATAAATCAACCTGATAGTCATTTAACGATGGTAGTAGGGAAAAGTTTACCGGGTCAAACCCAAAACGGATAGGGTTTGTCGTTGTCGACTGCCCTGCAGTCTGGCGATGCCAGCAGTTTTGATGGTCCGACTTGTTTACCAAGAGCAGCAATCAATGCGCGGCTATTGTTCCGCAAAAGTTCCGTTATCAGCGCTAATCTTCTAGATAACCTACCATCATTAGTATCCCGCTTGTTACCGGACGGTGGTTCAAGGTTCGCACTCAACACTACGATTCAGGTCTGAATTCCAAAAGCCAAAAGCAAAACTAAATGTAAACAACAGGCAACACTGGTAGACAACTAAATAAAACAAGTGAGAGGTAAGAGAACCTCAAAACTCGTTTCGCATCTGAGTGACGTTCCCAATTGACCAATTACCCATCTGACCTTCGTAGGGCCATCCGGCCGACATTAAGTATATGACCTAGGCCATTGTATCGACCCACAGATTACTGGCAGTGATCATGTCTGTCACACCCACGGGCAATTTTAGCACACTCATCACTGTCACTCAATCATGTTTTCGATATCGGCGCTATTACTATTGCTGTTGTCGTTCATCATCCGGAAGACGTTTAAACATTCGATAACAAATAACTGATTAGTTAATTGTAAGGGCCTACAGACCTTGAAGAAAACTGGGCCACAGTCGGCCAAGTCCATTCTTACAAGCCGACCTAAACACCATCCAGCTAGCAACAATAGGGAAAATTCGCCGGTCGATCGCTGCTAATTGGACCGCCACCATCAGGCAAGCAGATTACGTCGGGGACGTCAACTAAAATAACACCAACAGTTAGGAAGACGGCGAATTCGGTAGTAAGAGCAAAAAGGACTGCCTTAAAATCCGCAGCAATGTGGAACGGTGGAAGCGGCAGCGGGGTTGGTGGGGGCGTGGGAACCGATAGCTTTTCGCCAGGCCTCATCGAAGACGACACTCCGACGCTCCCGGGGGACAAGAAATGGAGAAGACTCTGCGCATATCTGTCAGTTCTGCTAGCACTCAGCATCGCTGGTGAGATATCAATGACTGAGCTAACTGCATGCTAAAAATGTCACTACTGAGAGTTGGCAGGAAGAAAGAGCAAAGGCATTTGTGTGTTTAGCAAAGAAATAAATTGATCTTCTGCATTGAATATTCGTTCAGCGGTTTGTGACGTTGATAGGCGTAAGTAGGCAGGAAAGGACCTAAACTCATTTTTACTCGGGAAAGATAATGAAGATGTATTGTAGAAATAAATTTGCTATACATAAAAAAATTGACTAAAAGAAAAAGCCTGCACGATTCAAAAAAAAATTTCGTAAGTCAAATGTTTGATAGAATTTGCGTCTATAGGGCGTAACAGGAATCATACGTTGTGAGTCCATCAACGTTTGCGTTAGTTACGTGAGGGTCTTAGTGAGTAGGCTCATTGGCCCTTAGAGCCAACGCTTCGAAGACAACAAGTATATTGTCTTTAATTGAAGATTATTTTATTTATTTTTGTAAGTGTGTTTTTTCTAATTTTTCGTTTGTACTCTCCGGTACCTTTTCGTTTCATTTCTGCGATGATAGAGGTAGTTAATAAACTTGTGATAATATAACACAATTAGATTTTAAAACAATCGCCATATGGTAAAGACTGTGAATTTACTCATGTGTGTTACGTTCGAATACAGATTTGCATTTTCTTAACCTTATCAACGCACTCAGTAATTAAAGCGGAGCATCTGATTTTTCGGATGTAGAAAATTAGCCAATTACTTTTTTAAAACATTAGTCAAAGAAGGTTTTTTTTTCGTAAATCTGTTCACCTAGAGATTCAGGCGCAAACTTGAAACCTGTTTCTGTTTAGTTTTAGTAAATTAACTAAACAAAAAGCGAGTCAGTGTTTTTTTCTACTCCTGCAAATTTTTTCTAGTGTATTACGATATTAATTAAGGATTGTTTGGCCAGTGGCATCGTGTATACCCGCTACACTTAGAGACAACGTGACCGGATTCAGATTCTAAGTTAAGTATAGACACCCTTGTTTGTGCTGAAAGCTTACCAGCAATAGCAGAAATGTTTATTGATTGATGACTTAAATAATTATTAAGATACGTTTTACGTTACATGATATACAGCCAGGTGTGTTATAGTATTAAAACTAAATTTCGTCCCAACTCAGTCTTGTACGCTACTGACAGTTCAACGAATGGTTGGTACTGGTAAAGCTGATTTGAAACTAGAGAAAAAAAAACATCAGCTGCAAATCTTGAATGTTATGAAGTAGAATCTTTCATGAACTTCGTATATGGTCCGCTGTTAAGAAGTGGCGTGGCTTCAAGAACGTCTAATAAAACGTTTTTCTGAAACACGGTATTATCTTTAGCGAAAGATTGCCTCAGTATCATTATAAATAGCACTTTCGATACCAGTTTCAGTCTTCGAGCTTCTTTCGTAACTTACTTTGGAAGCTTACAGCTGATTATTAGAGTGTACTTACCTCTGATGTCTGACATTTGTTATTTAGTTAATTGGTTTGAATTCGTTGCGTCTAGAGTAGTGAATTAAAGCCAAAAGAGAATAATAAAGGGAAACGAGTGATCGCATTATACAAGGTCAACAGGAGTTTTTTGTGGCTGACTAATAAAAGGATTATGACGGGGACATCGAATATCAGCATGGAAAAATCTAGCTGTTTGTTTGATAATTAACGAGCCCTTGTATTACTGTTCGCTAAACGGTCCCAAGTCTACCTTATTTATCTTCGGACCACCAATATTCATACTACCTCACTCCATAACCTTAATGATAAATTCTCTATGATTTAGTGTGCATCCTGCGCCCCATACGGATGATCCAATTTAAGTTATTTAGGATTGCTCCCGGACGTTGCATAACATTATTGTTTCCACAGAAGCACCAAGCAAGATCAGTCCCCAAACAAAGGGGGTGACCAAACCGTTACATGATGGAGAGAAATAGGCAAACAGTAAATATTGATTAACCGCAAAGAAACTGGACTGGAACTGGGCCTTCTGAAGCGAAAAAGGCCGCCGTATTCGAACATTATTTCGAGTCACAGAAGGGGGGTTCTCGACTTGAAAACATCGATGCAGTTTCGACGCTCCATAGCGTGCGAAAAATGGCTTTACGTATTCACGGGCCATGTCACAAACGGGTTATAATGCGTGCGGATACAGATGAAAGATGGAAAATTCAGACGCGGAAATTGTCTCGTCGCTGTTACATTGCTTCTCAGTGTTAACACCGATGCTATTCAGAATATCGTTACATAGAAGGTCCCTGTCACAAATGTTATAGGCAGGCATCGATCGATCATCAAAGAGTTTGACAGGCGCTATGGTGGACGTTTCTAAAGCAGACCGTTCTGAAAATGTCGATTTAAGCGTTAATAATTTAAAATTAGGTATTGGCTTTCGTAAATTGCATGCAAACGATTTGTTACTTGGGATGTAGTACTCCCCTTGATTATTTTACTCTATTCTAATTCAAGTAACAATTTCCTACTTTAAAGCGGTTGACGATTCTGAGCCTTTTGGGACTCTGGCTGCTCCTCAATCTGTACTGGAAATCTCACAGAAGTCAATTAGTGTAATCATTTTCTTCTGCCCACAGTGTCTTTAGAAGCATCTGTACTTCTAACTTGTGTCTTGTTTAGATCATTACGAAAATTATCGGGGGAGATAGTTTACGAACATGCTCAGACATAAAAGAAGTAATCAATGATTATTTCGTTGTATATTATTGACCCATAACTCAAACGGACACAAATGAAACCGGAAAAACAGACAACCCAATAACCATTCTGGGCGGCCGACCCGTTGAACGTCCCGCCTTTCAACTCTGCTAAGAGTACCGCTATCTTTGGCTACCGTGAAGTTTCTGAAAACTGTTTGCAAAAATTCTATCTGCTCACAAAAGCACTCACAACTTCGCAGTTACATATCGAGTTGAGAAGATTATCCTTAATAACTATGTTGAATACGAAAAAGATTTTGTATCATCTCGTTTTCAGGTACGATATTTGTGATCGTATTCATAGATACGCTATGCAAAGGTCTATACTCTGCAGCCATCTTGCACGCTACTCACTCTACTCTACGAAAGCAATCTATTGCAATAAATCAACGGAACTCAATAGTACGGCTTGAGATTCGTGTAAATCTAATATGGCTAATAGCACGAACCTATTTCTAAAGCCTATTGACAACTTTCGCTCATAGCGATAGTAAGCTTCTCATGTTGGGCACATTTCCGTACGCCGATTTTTATTCTCGCAGACGAAGCTTTTTTCATCTGTGTTCGAGTCAGACCAGAAAGTGGCTACTAGCGTTTACCTGCCTCACAGCTACATATGTACATATAGGTCGGTGTACGTATGAACAAATGACGGTGACGGACGATGGTGCTGTTACCAGTTACGCTGGTGGCTGGTGAATACCAAGTCCGCCTTCCGGAACCTCCAGGGATGTTGGCTATGTTGTCAGATGAACCTCTGAATTCGTGTTACCGCTGTTGTTGCTACTGGGCCTACTAAGTACGCGGAGACAGCCATACTATAAAGCGATGGCGGCCAAACAGGCAGGTAGACAGGCTCCTTTCTTTTCTTCAAAGGAAGTCATCAGGGGAATTGAATTCGCAGAAATGGTGTAGGCGAAGTAGGTAATGCTTGGATAGATAGGTAGGTACGAGGCAGGCGCATGTTTGTGTTACAGGCGCAAGGAATCCTCAGGGACGTTGTCTGGTGATCTATCTAAATTTAGGACTCGATGGAGGTATAGTGATGTTGGCTGTGGTAACAATGTAGGGCAATTGAACTTTTTACGCATTGGCGCCATTACCACACCGGCAGGTGGACATTCTCCTAACTGGCGCTATATGATTGTAAATGAGGCTTGCAGGGTGTGGTAACACCGTTTATTTTAAAATCTTCAGTTAAGGTTCTGTTAAACAACCTACAAAATAAGGTTCTCTATTAATCAGTAGAGTAGCGTGAGCTACTTTTGCTATTGCGCGGTTGATATCGATTGACATGTAAGATAATTACCAAACTGTAGCTTTTCCTCTTTTGAAACCTAAGGATAAAATAGGGTTCGAAAAAGATTCGAAATGGAGTAACTAGTCATCCACATGCAAGTAATACAATTAAACGACATTTTCAGCGGTCTCATGATATCTTACTCTGCCATTTCTAAATACACCAACTTGAATCTAACTTGTAACCATGTAAATTGCATACTCAACTTATTAAGGCAGGCGCGGATCTTTTATTAGGTATGTTCATGACATACAGGTTTCTGCATTTGCGTCTTGATGAAACCATGGTCGCTAGAGTGCTGAGTGCTTCGTATAAAAGAAGCCATAAATTCATAGAGTTCCCTAATTAAAAATGCGTCAACATCAACTTCTTTTAGAAACTTTATAACTTCAATAGGGCCACAATAAGTCGTTGTTTTTTTTATTTTGTATATATATATATATAATTTTATTTTATCGTTTACATAATTTGCAAATTGTTTGTTTTCGTTTTATGTGCTAAGTTGCTTCTGTCTGTATTCAATTTAACTAGAAATGACAATAAGGAGCTGACGCAGTACGTGTATTGTGTTTACAGCCTATAAGTTTTTCGAATACGCAACGGAAATCTTAGCTGTCCTGTGTTCTTTCCTTTGTCGTTCTCTTTGCCGATGGCAATACAACAATAATAAGGTACAAGTAAAGCATAAGGGCCGTGTACAGCTGGGAGTGCACTAGTGAAGTGATGCGGAGTTAACATACGCATAGAGGTTGTGCGTTGGCTTGAAGACATCCGGGCACTCATTCAGTAGACTTCAGATATGACGAAGTTTTGAAGTGATCATCTCCAAAGTGAAACTCCTATTCTAGAGCATACAGAGCCTACTTGTATTTCAAGTGGTTTGGAAATTCGTCGCCTCCGTTCCTTTAGGCTAGCCCACTATCAAGCCAACTATCTTATGGCAAATCGCGACAGTAAGGTCCTATTTTTTCTAACTTGATTTGATTATCGATAGGAGAAGTGTACATTGGCATGTTTAAGGGCTTAATTGCTCCGAACGACTGATTCCCAGCACAAACCAGAACGTGATTAAGCTTAGTCTTAATTCCAAGCCACTAAACGTATCTACATCTAGTAGACAGGCACGTTATTACATGTATCATTACGGAGGCTAAACAACATCACCTGCCAGATAGTATGTCTCTTTAACTTAACGTTATTTGCTGCAAGTTGGATCTTTTTTCACTTTGACGAAGTGCAATGAAATTCCCCTGCATCAAATGAAATCAGCTTCGAACAATGTAACTCCAGGAACGAGCAGGTCATTCATAGAAGTACTGTTTGACCGTCGATATGTTTTCACAGTTAAACTGTACACTCTACATGAGATTTTAAGCGTAGGCACTGCTAAGCTTATTTGGGCGTGGCAGGTAAATTTCATGGGGACGTTATAGTCCTTGTCCCTATTGAAGTACTCTAAGTACATCTATATAATCTACGATAATTTCAAGTTTAATAACGTTTCATAACTAGTTCTTATCATCTGCTGAAGCGGCTAGAACTAAGAAGATATATAACGTTTACAAAAACTAAGGCAGGTTTAAAGTAAAATATTAATCTTCAGTATAATACTGTTTCTGTTTCCTATAAATGCATATCTAGATAGGTAGACCTATGTATTTTAAAAAACTAACGAAGGGAAAATTGCCAAAGCGTTCTTGTACACTGGTAAGCACATTTACGTGAAACTATGCCGCTGCTTTGAGACTTCAGAGATTCAAAAATATTCGTTACCAATTATCTGTTTTTTTTTTTCATTTTATTATTTATAATTTCTCTTATTTATTTATTTCATGCATTTAGAGAAAGAAGAAAGCTAGAAGCTTAAAGTAATTTTCGAAACTTGCGTAGAGTTACGGAATTTTCTAAATGTCCTATAAAAGACGAACTTAATTATAAGGCATTTTTTCGTATGTCCTCTGGGGCTCTAACTGCCTACGGTCAATCCGGCATATTACAGCGCCTATCATCAGGATATAGCAAGTTTAAAAATACTGTATATAAACATATATATATATATATATATATATATATATATATATATAATGATTCGACATTGACATGTACCAAAGCATAGACTTAATTAGATTAAGCCCGGTAAAAAATACTATTATTATTTATTATATTAGTATTTTCGAAAATGTCTGGAGCGATACACTTTGTTTGCTAACCTCTAATCTAGTCCCATCGTAGTGTTATCACAGGGATGCTTTAGAGGAGTAACAGGCTAATTACAGCCCTTTTCCAGTGGTTTCGCTCAGGTCTATTGCTATATTTTTGAACTTTGCACATCTGGATAGCTCTTGTAATTCTGTTAGCAACTAGAATGTCTATCGTGAAAATTATCTATGAGAAACTATGGTACAAAGTAACGATTAGTTATATATTTACACTATAAAGAAGATTATCATCACTATCAACTTGTAATTCTACAGGTGTGGGCTCATGTTTTGCTGTGGCCGTATATCTCGGCCAGGGGGCTGGCCTCACTTACCGGACAGACATGGAAGTCTTGCTTATAGGAAGCCCAATCATTATTCCAGGTTAGTTGAAATTAAGCAGTTTTCTACTTGATTTTCTTCTTTAACAAAATATACATTTGTAAAATACTTGTTGTAAAGAGGGGTTCGGCAATTTTTATTTAATAAAAGAATCCTTAAGAAATCTTAACGTCCCCCGCGTAAGTTTCACCATGAGCGCTTTGTCCTGATTGAACAGGTATAGCATGTAATAGTACAAATCACATTCGCATTCGGCTGCGAGATATATTGTTCCTTAATGTGAACATGTTGCTCTCGAAGCTGGCACATGGGGGAATCAAAGACTGCTTCGATTATCACATGATCCACAAGATGTTTATACCATATGTCTGCGTGGTCTACATGCTTCCTACTGATTCCTAATGAAAATGTGACGTGCTACCAGCGGCAAAATAAGTGATTAAAATTAGGCAGAATACCTTCAAACGTCTTTTTCCGTGCTTACTCTAATTGTTAATTCAGCATAGAAAATTCAAAACAGTCTTCTGCTGTATGGCCAGACCAAACGCACGGATCAGTGGATTGTAAGATTCCATCAGTTGTCATGACGACAGCTTTGTACGACTGTTACTGGATAATCTCCATTTACTTTCCTCCATGCGCTCTATCGTGACGTGCATTTCGTGGGCATCTGCCCTTTTTTAGGAACGCGTATAGGGCGACTGTGAGAGATCACTGAGGCAGTTAATCTCAAGAGTCTGATCTCTCGGCTTCGTTTTGTAGGAACTTGGCTTATGGTACGGCCGCTTTTGGACGGGCACAGGGTAACAGTGCAAAGGCCGACAGAAACACCTTCCGCGTTCAAACAAACGCGTTCAAAGTTTAGTCGGTTTGAGGCATATAAGCATCTCCAACTAACCATTAGTCACAGAACGAGAAATTAGGGGGTGGATTTATATTCCTGACCTTGTTCCGTACTTCTTTTGAACCGAAGCTGGGCTTCGTGTCTCAGATGTTACCCCATTGAGTGTACACTCTCTGAGGCTTTTATTGATGCATATGTCACCCTAACCTAGAGAGTAAGGCGTCTGTTGGGTGTAACAATCGACGAGGAGGAAGGACCCGATAGTGAACTCACGAAGTTCAAGATCACTTGCGGCTTAGCCGATGTCCAGTGACGGCCTCCTTCTCAGGCTACTTGAAGTGTTCCATGTTACCCTCGCTATTCGGCAGCATCTACGTTTTTTGTTAGCACGGCCCAGCAGGACCCATCGGACGTCTAACAGGCAGCGAAGCAGCTAGCAGACTGTCCAACGATGGGGGGCGTTTTAGCCAATCTCTACGTGCTATGGCCAGGAGTATCGATTGGGATCATGTTCGTTGGAGGTTAGTGAGACACATAGGGTGTATTCATGCTCAAGCGATAGAGGACACCTTTTCGAAACGTGCGAGTTTATCAAGCGATCGCTTTACCAATGAACTACGTTAGCTTTGAAAACAATGAGAGGTTTATTGTATGTTCAGTGTTTCTCGTATGAGAATTATCTACTGGATTGTGTTGAAGAGCCAAAAGGCCGAAATGAAATTATCTTGCGAATATCGGATACAATAGTCTTACGAAATGCACAGAAGAAGTCTATCGACCGATCTATCGCTCTCACTCTAAAGTATTTTTACAATGCAGCCCTACAAAATATATTGTTTATTCATAAGAAACATAATAATACGCTACCGGTATTTCGGTACATTGCTGCATATGTACTATTCCACCTATGCAGTTCTGCCTGGAAGACTTTTGCGATGGTAACAGTTTATTACATCAATATTCCGAGATTTGTTCTCTAATCCTCAGTAATGCATCATTTATCTAGATTTATCTAGGCTAGATTTATTTATCTTAATAATTTTACTGTTGATAGTCGATATAAATATGCTTACAGCAACAGAACATCTAGAAAGGCGTCGAATGGTGCGGGCTGTTCCATTGTTCCTTTTCAATAGACTTGAATACGCTTATGCCGATTTAGTACCCGCTGTATGACTGACATCACGCTTACAGGTTCACGTATAGATTATTGATTGAAATAAGTAAGTTTACTTCCGCTCATTGCGAGAAACAGAGTCCGCGGTGACGTCAGATTAGAATTTACCCTCAATAGTAGAAATTCTGATGGTTCCCCATGGTAACTGAAAGGCAATTGGGTTAATATGGTGCGTAATATGGTGCGCTATTATCCTGATTAGAAAAGAATAGAGACTTTAGGTCGCTCGTTATGCTATGCACAACCACTGTATACAAGTTTATCACTGCAAGATTATTTTACTGGTACTAGTGTCCTCGATACCAAGGAACTAAACAGAGAAAATACGTAAATGAAAGTTTCTGCATAAACTCTTTCAAGCCTATATTGGCCAAAATCAGGAAAATCACTTTTTTGCAAGGGGAACGATCGTTGAGGTATTAGTTCCCTTCGTGCTGGAGCTACCAGTGGTCGTGAACTTCGTCGGTCGTACTTTCAGACTAGGTCTGGCAAATTTTACATTCGTAGCTTCTACGGTAGAAGGACATGCCGAAATGAACTTGAATCATTTGCATTACTGTCCCTTTCTCTCCAGTCAGTTTTGACATGTTCCTAGATATTTTGCGAAATCGGCTTAAGCACTGAGCAGTTTCAGATAATCCTAGATTCTAAATAAACATAAACTTAGGATTTTTCATATGGAAGTCCCTTATACGTGCACAAATCACGAACGACCACACTAAGACCATACATGCGTCGATTCAGCGATGATTCTAAAAATTACTAAATTTAGTATCTGTTAATAATTAATTTATTCACTTAATCTTCAACTGGGGATCGGGCGTCATCAGTCGTCAAACTTCATTTTGCATTGTTTCGTGTACAAATCGAATGAAAATCTTATGTATTTTTTTTAAACACATATGCAGGTATGTATGGCAGAAATAATAGCTATATATGATACTGCAACTGCGGTTCCAGGTTTACTTGCGTTGTATCTGTGTACGCGCAACTGTTGCGGGGTCATCTTGAACCTGTTCTTCTCGTCGGCTGCGGTTGGCTGCGGAGTGGGCCTCTACTTATCGGGTTTCTCCCGCTCGCTAGGGATCATGTTCATCATTGTCGGCCTCCTGATGATGGTCGTCATTATCCTTGCTCTTATCTACCACAAATTCACGGGTGAGCTCAGCTACAAATCTCATCTAATTTGTGACGCCTCTTTAGCCATAGATTGCGGTCACCGAGATAATGTAATAGTAACGTTTTTGCCTAATTAAATTTGGGGACACGATATGGGATGGCCTAGGTTTTTAAATCGGATGCCTCGTTTCGTTCTGGAAGCCAACCATTTGAAGCAATGCTAAATAGTAGTAGTACTGGAAGTGAAACTCGAAACATTTTTTAAGTCAAAGATGGTGGAATTTGTTAAAGCTATTAATACTAATAAATACACAGAATATACATCGTCGTTTTTGCTTGGTTTTGGCTTTAAATTAAATTACTTTAAAAACGTATTCTCGGTTACAAAAACGCGGTTAGCCAACGCAATTGCCTTGCTTGCTTGATGAAGCACCTGAGCATTGGTAGCAATTATGCTCAAACGACAATGGAAAATCAAAACATCATATAATCAGAAAATCATATAATGTTTCTATTTCTGAATAAGATATACCACAACAAAGAATCCTCAACGCATCGTTAAGAAGGGGTGTGTCTCTTATGAAAAATTTTTTCGAGCCCCATTACTAGGCAGAACCCGAACAACTTGTTACCACCTCTACAACACTGATAGCAAAGCTGTGGGAGCAACGTCTTGTTTTCGATTAAGAGAGGCCTGGAGCATTTTCGATGTATCAGGCTAACCATCTGTATGCACACTTTCTAAGTTTCGGTGTTTCATAGGCTCAACTATCATGATCCGGAACAACTTGTATTGCCTTACCATCAACTTATTAAATGTCAGACAGCTCCGGTTTTTTATTCGTGTGCCCGTCACCGGACACGTAAAATAAACAGTGCGCAAGAAGACCCTCCCTCTCCCCTCCGACAAAAGCCGCCGCGGATAACGCTACCTAAACACCGCCCAATGTTGACTTTCATTTTCACCAGGAAACTACGTTTGTGAATTGATAGCACCAAAAAGGTACGATTTGACGGAAGTCACATCTCGATCATAGCGAAATTGCTATCCGGACTGAAGCGATGAAAAGCTAGACCAAATTACCAAAAGATTAAGTTGAGGCAATTTCGTAAAGTAACACACAATGAGTTCTTTGAAGTGAAAAGTTGTGCGTTGTCGAATAGATGCAACGAATCGGCATTGACTTGTCGTATGTGCATTTACTGACAGGTTCGAAGTTAAAGTTTCTTAAAAATTAAATATTCATTACTTTTTACATCATACACCGTGGATGATTGCTATCTATATGCGCCTTACACATGTTTAACTACAGATGGCGAGCACGTAAGTGCGAAACAATTTACCATTACATTAGTGAATGTACCTTTATTAAACGACGATTAGAGAGAAACAGGTCTGATGTGTTTCGCATCATCAAACCTACAATAAATAACGTTCTTTTAGGCATTAATCAAATTACGCTACTTAACATATGATACTGCAACGCTCGTCTCAAACGTAAAAAGAGAGCGTTATAGTCAGTGTTTAACTGCGAACAACCCACCATCGTGCCATAAGCTATCTGAGCCGAAAGGAACATCACCTTCTATATACAGCCCATTCTGACCCGGCTCGGATAACTCTGAAGATTATGTCTCGGTCCATGGTCAGTCGCGTTTGTTTCCGCCAAGCGGATACATACGTACGAGCATATACATGAAGCAGCTGTTTGTAAACTTACGTCGGCAAACCTGGGTCGAGATAGAGACCGGGGTGGAATTACGCGGACATAACGGGTGCAGAAAATTAGCAGCTGTAGTACGTCCGCTCTTACCGTTTTCCAGTCACTTAGTAATCTTAGTTATTATATTAGTTGGTATATTAGAAATGTGATAATTTTTTTATTGCGAGAACATTCACTTCCCTTCGACATCGCCGACAAACATTGGGGAAGATTACGAACGTTCGGCCATTGCAGAAGTAAAGAAAGCGCACAGGCAGAACATTTACGTCCAGCTTCCGTTATCGACAAGGAATATGAGGCTGTCTTTGCACCTTTCCAAGGCTCGGTCGCTTGAAAGGTCCACGTACTGTCTAGTAAAGCGCTCTGAAAGTAGATCTCAGCGTACAACACTCGTACATCTTACCGGTACGAACGGAATCGAAGTGGCAAAGATAACGCCAGAACGAAGGCAATGTTTTTGTGACCGATGGTGTAGGTAAGACAATTTCGTTGTATCTGAGAATGAACTCAAATAAACGGACGGCTTTTAGACACCAAAGAGCCAAGTTAACGATGGCTGAATAGATGACATATTGATTTCGATAGATAGATATCCTGCGCATAATCAGACAGAGGAGGTACTTGGCTCGACGAGAGAAGTCCCCTTTAGGCAGAGGTTGCTAGTCGACAGGACACACGACTCGGACAGTCAAAATTTCTAACAGCAAAAGGCCAACGGAAAAGGCTGACTAAAGAGAAGACCGTTGCTTCAAACTACGTTTATGAGTATCCCTCCAGTTTAAAACACAATAAAATTATATTTAAGATGTGCACAGATAGAAGAGAGGTTTCCATTAAACCTCTCCCAATTCTTCGACAGTTTTGATTTGTTCCTATCCAATTTAAAAAAGCAAGCTAGGCAGAATACGAAAGACATGAACTTTCCCGCCGTCCACGTTACTTGAAACATGTTGAACAGGTAACTATTAGAAGTAAATGAATTACAATATTTCTAAATAAGCGGAAATTATTCGAGCTAGTATATATCATATTTCGATGTTGATAACATATATGTACTGTGTTGTATTTTGTTAGGCAAAACACTCTGCTACTACGAAGACTATGATGACGATTCAATCTGGGGCGGAATGGGTATGAATGAGAGCGTGTTCGCCCTGCAAAGGGCCTACCCCAACTGCGCCCCACTGCGCAGGCTCAACTCCTCCATTCGGAGAGGTGAGTAACTCTAAATCAAAGACTTTGTAGCGGATGTCGAATAACGATTAGATGTGTATTTCGTTCATTTTATGCGTCGCAGAACCATTTCAGCTTCCGCTATAATCATAATGGTTATAATGCAAGGAATATACACAGTAATAATACGGAATAGCAGATTTGGTGTTGCGAAATAAGAACACTGATAGGCTGAACATTTTTCATAAACAGGACAGCAGGCCAGCTTTTACCAAAAAAAAATTCACCCTAGAAATAAGGGCTATGCAACATGAACGACAGCAATGAGTCTCTCTATTTTAGTGGCAGAAAGACCAATCCACCCCGAACGGTGTCATACACCTATCCACAGAATCATCTCTGTATACAAACACTTATTTGTGCCTAAAATATTCTTTAGAGACACTATACTAGACTCTACATCCGTGCCATTTAATAAATATAGCTATTAAAATAATGAACAATAGTTAAAACTTGATATGCCTGTAAGAGACGTCATATATTTTCAGTACTCACATAGAAGTTCACTTCTACATGTAGGTACGCGTGATAATAGGTAGTTATGTTCAATAATTAGGTACCTCTATATTTATCAAGGTGACGTATATATGTTGGAATGGAATAAATTTCATACGATAAACTCAACGATGCTTTTTACTGTTATGTAGGTCATATAAACTTGAAAATGCCAAAAGATCGTATATTGTTAGAATATTTATATTAATATAAGCGAAACAAGTTAAAATGCGCTCAATTGTATATTTCCCAATTGGTGAAACTTTTTCTGTTTTTTTGGCAAAGGCCGAATACATTCATGCACTTAGAACTAGGCGAGGACTGTAAGTATAGCTGTATAGGCAACATACGGTCAAAGAATTGTTCATTTAAGGACCCATAAGCATGTGGCGTCTCAGCGGGTTAGCCCATTAATGACCACTAGAACCACTAGAAAATTGAGCCTATCTATGTAGGCTGAGAAAATGTGAACCGCAATATTTTTCTCCTATAGCATATTCAATGAGGGTCACTAGGATTCACTGTTTTGTAGAATTGGCGATTTCTTACTTTTTGGTGCATTTACCAGAACTGTGAAATCACATCGCCATTGCGTTGGATCACTAGGCTGGTTGAAGGCGACTTGCGTAGCCGGCAACGATATCATACGGAAGACCATGCTGAAAGGAAACTACGATAATGTTGCTTCCCAAAAAACACCAGCTATAATAATGATGACTCGGAAAATGACGGTCGGGAGCGAGCACAGCGCTACCAGGAAGAACTTCTATTTGAGGCTTGAGAAGGAGTGTTTTGCCTCAACGAAGGTTATTAGAACCTTAGACCAACGTGCTGTTCACACGTTGCTTCTAGTTCGAAGTCACTGCGTTAAGTTCATCTTCGACGCTTTGCCACTAAAACTGCTCGTGAGCAAATGGTCGCTTTTATGATGATACATCAATAGCAGATTAACCAACGTGTTCGTATAAGCATACACCGTTTTTATTTATGTATTGGTTGGTTCATAGTGATCGTCAGTTACCGGCAAAGTAATTTACCTCGCTTACATAACTTGTATACCTATGTCTACCGTAAGAGCTTATAAGTTTTCTATCTCAACGTAGTGTAATCCAATGACATTCGGACAATGACCAATCGTGTGAAATAATCGACTGTTTCACAACGACGTCGTGTATCCTAACTGTGTAAGCCTCCTTAATATATCAGGCAAATTCTCAACTGGAGTCGTTCATTGAAGGGAAGTCACTGTCGAATTACCTTCGGTTACCCACCTTCAACTGAGGGATGCAGGTCATAGCCGACAATCGAATGTGAGTTCCATTGTTCTAGGTGATTAATTTCTGGCCGTAGCTGTACCACGTCGATGATAATCCAACGGTAGCATAGTACGAACCCTGACTCAGATGCTGCGGCGCTACTGTGAAAATGCCGATCGTCAAACGTCCGCCGCTTTTGGATAGTTTCACGGAGAAAATATATCTGTTTTCTTTGGTAGATGAGCCGAGCTTGTTGTCAAATTTATCAATCAGATGCACGACGAAATCCTTTCATGTTTTTAGTGCCGTTAAAATAGGGGGAAGACAATCTCTGAACCACTAGGGACTGAGCTGTGCCTGAGTAAATGTACTATGGTTCAATAATTCAGTGCATCTGGTAGATTTTTGTTTCGGGCTACGGGTCAGCAGTTCTTTATTTCAGCATATACATCGCAAACAGTTCCTGGCCAATATGTTTCACTGGTCAAATGACATAACGCGTAGTGGATTCTGAGTTTGCAGCTTCTTCGAAGAAATCGTTCTTCTTCCACGTGAAGCCCATGGACTGGCGTCAGTAAGCTTTATGTTTAGTCATAGATATAGTGGTGGTTTAATAAATTGTTAACTGCGACATCCATAAGCGGGTTGCAGTACAAGCTTTTCATGCAGTTCGTTTCTTGTTGCTTGTGCCTGTTGGCTGTGTAACAGCATCTGGGTGAATTTCTTACTTGGGAAAATATTTTGTGCTGAGATATACACATACCTGGGTTAGGCAGCGATTCATTGCATACAGTTAGGTAACATGGTCACGTCCTTCTCTTGTTGAATGCCGTTTTTCGATTGTTTCCCTGGCAACCACGGACAAAGCACGATGGTGCCATAGTCGTGTTCATACGCAAGGAGTAGCCGCTCTCTTGTCTATTATTTATCGATGAGCTGGGGTCCTGAAGCTTCCCATTTGTTGTATTAGCCCAGTTCCGCCATCACTGTGTGTAAGTACGTTTGGTCCACTAACGTCAATCGAGGACAGAGTTCGGACGTCCAGTAAGCAAAGCTTTTTAGATGTGCACCTGATTGTCGTTACCACTTACCCCCTAAGCCATTGGTAACAAATATCAGCATAACGATCGGCTAGAGCATATGCAGGGTGCTGGCAATAAGACGCCGGACTTGACTGATTGGATATTGGTATTTATTTAAATACGTTCGTGCTAATTTTTGAAACAGGAAAAAGGCAACCGTTAAAAGGTCGTTTGAAGGTCACTCGCCTATAAAATCATTATAGCGATGCACACGTGAATGACTGCTAGCATTTGGCGAAAGATGCTGGCCTTTCAACCTGAGCATCTAATCACCACGATACTAGATAATATCAAACAAGGTACTAATAATAATAGAACTTGTGAAGAATAAGTAAATAACATAAAGTATATGCAAGCAACATCGGAAGGTAATGATTATACTTAATGAATCTTTTTGATTGACGATCATAGCACAATAAAGATAATTTTTTATTTAAAAAGGTAGAAATCGGCAAGCCGTTCAAATAATCTCATTTACGGGCTGGACAAGTTACTCGTCCTGGAACAGAAGCATTGTCAAGTAATAACACGGTCTATGGCGATCTCATGCGGCTCAATCGATCTTCCTCTACATTAATTATTCAACTGTAGATTGTGTTCTATATTTTATGATTGACTGTCCAGTGCCCTCCAGCCAACTGTATGTCAATGCACTTGGACATCTAAGAGTACCAAAGAAGCACAAGGCTACAATTAATGATGTTCAATCGAATCAGAACCAGACATGTTGGGTGATAGGGGTCAGATCTCAGTCATCGGCAGCAGTCAGCGATTGTTCCGCCTGTAGCGTAAACAATAGGTTCTATCTCCCTAATATATTTACTCCCAAACCTACGCTGTACCCTTAGTACAACAGTTTCATTTTCCAAATGAAGCTGCTATTGAATTTAAGCCGTTTAAGGAACGACTCGTTGCGGTAATGGGCCACGCACTAACCATACGTATTAAATGTATACTGACGAAACAAATCATCCAGCGAATATCATAAATTAGAAAGTCAGATCGGGATAGTCTGAGAAGATTTTCGATATAAATAATGCACTGCTTCTAGGCGACAGTCTAGTATTTAGAATCTTCTCTTGTGAATCGCACAAAATCTATGACCTTATAGAGAGCACGAGATTGTTTAGCATGGACTAATTGTATACACCGCTTATAACCGGGACATATATAGCTCTTCGTGGAGCATTCTGGCAGTAAATGATAAACGTCTCTTAGTACTGCATAAATGAGACGAAATTGACTCAAGAGCAAAATATTGTAACGCCTTTCGTATCGCCGAACTTCTCTTCATCGATGCAGACAACTACTGCTGCAGGCCATGCGTCGTTCAACAGCTTTCAGAGCGTCCCGCCTTCTTCATAGTCCTCGCAAGCCGGTAAAATTATTATCGACATTTCCGCTAGATTTCTCGAAGGTTACGAAGCAGTTAGGAATTGCTTTCCATTCAACACTGAAAGGCTCAATAACTAACAGCACAACAGACGCTATGGACTCTCAAATGGATGGTAATGCTCGGATGTGGGCGATAGGCCACGGCGATTCGTTACCAGACAGGTACAGGAACCGTCGCTTTCGTTCGCGCTGCGTGACCACGCAGTAGACGCAGAGATAGATAGTGCGAAACCGCCTATTAGAAGCTTAACAAAGGGAATACAGTTAAGTATAGACAGCTGCTCTGCCTTTACTGCTCAGACTTTACTGAGAATGCGACAAGTATGACTTCACAATACGTTTTCATGTAGCCTCGTATTTTTTTTATGTACATACATGCAATCAAATGATGGAGCGAAGTTTGTTTTGCTGACAACTTCGATACTTTGATTGATTGAAAAGCTTCGCACCTACACATTACCATACTTGGAGAGACCAGCAACGATGCAAACGTTGACTTATTATATAAGCAATCGAAACGGAAATCAATCATGTAGAGCTAGACCTTGTTGCAAGCACCGTAATTTCACAGACTTTCAATCTCCAAGAAATATGAATCGAGAAGCTTATTGTTGTTACTTCGGGTTTCAGGTTGACATCGTGTTCTTTTTTCAATAACTTGCCAATATAATAACCGATTTTCGTCCGAAAAGCCTATTGATTATATATATATATATATATGAGTGCACACGCGGCCACTATATCACGAATATACGTGACCTCCTTTGCTGCTCCGCTACACGTGTTACGCACAGGCTATGTATGATGATGATACTTTGTTTTCTTTTAGCCATAGGTTTTCATAGGTCCAAAGGTACCACGCTTATCAAGCTGTCACGTTATTTCTTCAAAGCTACAAAGGTAAATGGCGCGCTCGTGTTAGATGCACCGAAACACAATCCAGGTTACCTTCGTCTGCTTTCACCAAAACCATAGCGGTAAAACACCGTATGCACAATGTCTACTCTGTCGAAATATGGCCATAACAGAAAACCCAGTTTGCAATGTAAATGAACGTATAGTGTTCCTAGACATACCCAATACATCTGCTCGTGCACAGAGTTAAGCTTATGTTGGACCACTGCTTGGGTCACATTGATTACACGGTTTGTTTAACCTGCAATCGTATTTGCGTAGCAAACAAACTACTACAAAATAAACAAAGTCCTTCGCATATCAAGATAATCTCTGCTTAGCAAACCCTGATCCACGCTCAGGTAACATCGTCATTTCTAGCTTGTTGATTTATTTTCCTATTTCTAAACCATATTGATCTACGAATGCCTGTGTGTTTCGAGCTTTACATTTAGTATCGCTGTTAGACATAGTTCCATCAGAGGGCTAGCTGACACTCAGCACAAAACCAACTGTCTCTCTATGCTCTATCGAACCTGGGTCACCTCAGCAAGCCAGTACGTTACCCCTATCTACACGATCTACGGATGCCTAAATCGCTTTCAGATGTCTGCAGTTTACTGAAACAATGCTGCAGGACGGAAGATCAGAAATGTTGCTCTGACAGTCGAAATAAACTGGGTCCGGTAAAAAAATAGAGACAAAAAGGTTTGCAAAGGTATATTATAGGACAAAGACTCTGCTTACCGTTACTGGTTCACCTTGAAAGAATGAAATGGGTAGTGAAGTCCCCGTGGGACACCTTCACTATCTTCATTTGTTTACAATAGGTGGCCCGGCTGTACAAATGGCATTCAAACGAATCGCCCCCATGCAAGACAATAGACCTGATGGGCCGGTAAGGGAACGAACGAGTTCCCAGTTAAGCCTCGGTTCTGATGCTTGGTCCTAATTGCACCTGATGCCAATCTTAGCGTAGTAGTAACAAAGAACCGTAGAACTAGGAAATGTACGCTTAAATTTTTTCAAGGAACGGTTACTTTGTGAGGATCATCATTCCGCTCTAAAGTTTACGCGAATCGGGGAACGTGTTCAAACATACGTTAATATAAATCACATCATGACGCCAACATTGTATTGTGTGCGTTTGTATACGCATTGAACTTTGCGTATTCAACGATTCTCCGTGAACGTGCGATTTCGTTGCGTGGAGTAATCAGCAAGGATCACAGGCACGGCCGATACAGAAAAGACACATAAATATTCGCCACGACTGCACCAGAGCACTCGAAGTGTTCCGATTGGAAGGAGATCATCGTAATTCTGATCGCGCCTGATAGGACAATGATCATGGCGCCAGTGCAACAGATTAAAGAATCTTCTTCGGCAAGTGAGCAATAAACCAGCTATTGGACAGAAGCTGGCCGACCTTTACTAACTATCGTTTCCCTGCGAACCATCATTACTGCTGTTGTTTCCGTTACCAGCAACCTTGACGGCACTATTCAAGGTTTTCTCGATACCTGGCCCGAACATCACCAGTGAACATCAGGTATTATTCAGCACCGTGACCAGATATACGTACATATTTTAGGAATTCTTTGATGACATTCCGTTTTGGTTCCGATTGTTAAAGGCAATGCTACAACCTTGTCGCCAACACATTTCACTCTATACGCCTTACATGCAGTAACCACCTATTAAGCGGTTTGTTTTGCGAAGCTTCGACAAACTCTTGTACGTGGTCAATGTTACCTCGTTCGACGGGCTACTTCGCTTTCATTAAATTCGTCGAAAAGGAGAGACGTCAATGAAGTGTATAAATGCGCACCGCCCTACAAGATGTTGTAACCTGCTTGAAGTAAATACGATTGAGCTATCCTTGCGCGAGCTATTTTACATGGATCGACAAGAGGGGATACGTTGGCGGATGCCAACGCCGCTAATGGCTCCACAGTATTGCTTCGAATCTATTGGCTATACAGGCTAGCACTCGCTGACATTTACAGCAAGGAGCAACGATCCGACGATCACTGATAGAAACCGCTGTCACGTCACAAGCAGGAGCTGGTGTATTGCGGTAGCTTGAATAGAATCGATGAAGTCAAAAACAGCAACAATTGAAGAAAACTGAAAAACCAGTTGGTACTCACGAAGCTTGTGTTCTGATAAGCAATATCTGTCAGTCAATTGATCGGCCTTTCAACTCGAGTTGGTCAGGCGACGAAATGGTGTACTGTCTGCTTTGGGACATCTGAAAGACTCTAAAAATGAATAGATTCGCTCGAGACGGCGTGCACAAGGACGTCACTGGACACTGTGAAATCAGCAAAAGCGTTGCTAAGGGACTTGGAGCTCAAGAGATACAGCAGCCCAATGGGGCAGCTTAGACGGGCCTTGACAGGCTTAAATACGTCTCTATATGACAATTTTGATGTAAATAGGATACAAAAGTGCTGCCATGGATCCTCGATCATTAAATGCAGGGAGTTGCAAGTACTAGGTTATTTGATGTAGGACCTAGAGCAAGCAGTTCATGTGATACGTGTACACATATGCCGAGGTAAGATGTGAACTAAATTCAGCGCAATTAATCTGATTTGTGTAAGGTAAGTTAGACAGCGCTAATTAAGTTCGTTACACGGAATTACATATTGTCGTAAAAGTATTGCTCATTAACTGTTGATATGTATGTGTGATAAGTAAATATGGACATGCATGAATTGAACGCGTCCCTGTTCGAGAAGAGTGAGCGGATTTTCTCTGATGTGAGATCTCACAAACTAAATCAACATCAGTAATAACAATGCACATCCATGTGCCTAATCAGTATTAATGATGCGTTGAATTAAATTCGGTCTAAAAATAATGTTATATATGGATAATTATAATACTATATTTATAAAACGTGTGTGTCCTTATAGGGTCGCAGCGTTGGCGCAGCAGCTTTCGGCGCAGTCTGGGTAAAAAATTTCATCACCAACAGAGTCACGAGCCTCATCACAGTCACAATCATAGTCATCAAAACCATAAGCATCATTATAACCATGGTGGCGAACGTCCCACAGGCGCGACTCTAGTGCTACCATCTGGGGCTAGCCTCGTCACAAACGGCGGCGCCCAGGCCAGCAGCAGCAGCAGCAGCGCCCACAGTAACAATCCCAGTTTTCAGCATCGAGCGAGCTTTTGCTTAGGGGAACAAAACAATCACTTCGGCGACTACAGTCATAAGCACTCGCATGCTCTGGGCGCCGCTCACCAGCGGAGACCTAGTCATATCACGGTATGTCTGTATAACCACTTAATTAAATAGAAAAATAATCCTACATACAATGCTGGCTTGTTCTTGAAAACTTCTTCAACCAAACACAGTAATAACTTGTCACTGATAAACGCAACCTAAAAAGCGAAACCCAACAAGTAGTAATATAGTGTTCCCGTAGGTAACGTGTGTGCTTGCTAATGTTGAGCACACGTTGTGGTCTAGGTTCGAACCCAGGCATAGGCCGAGAGTCAGTCGCGTGTCAGTCGAGACACCTTACGGCGATAGTGGACGTTAAACTTAACACTTGAAGGTAGTTACTAACAGACGAGTTTTAGTCGATTCATAATATAAGAGTCATATAAATATTAACAATATAGTAAAAGTAGAAATGTCTATCTTCGAAATCGTATGTTTGAATAACCACTTTTAATTTTAAAAATATGATCATAGAGAATAAATCCAATATTCAAGGTCGTAAACAATGAACCAACTACGGTCTAAAGGAAGTTAAGCCAGTTATGCACTAGCATTGGGAGAGCAATTACCATAGAACGTACGAGTATTTCGCAACCCCAAATTACTATGCAATAAAACTGCCAGCTGGGGAACCAACAGAGTCAATTAACATACGATTCACCGGTGAACTTACCTTCGTCCCTGATCCATCCGAAAAATCCACATAACTTCATTCAGCCCATTTATATCCACGCCCTCTGTCAGCGGTAGAGAATCAGCTTAAATGCGATGCCCCGATGTTTATAATTTTTGTTTGTAAACAACTAAATCATGTCAGGATTTGCCTGACATTCGCATCTCCGGCCCATTGCTAGGTGAGTTATTGGATAAGAAAATCATCCAGTTATGATTCAGGTCATGTGTATAAACTATCACTATCGATAATAGTCAGCGTGCTGTGGTCCTTGAAAAAAACATTTTGTTTTCCTTATAGGTATCCAGCTGTTTGAAAGCTCAACTTAGATTCCATCAGACGGCTGACTCAGAGTTATGTGGCGAAGTCTGTCTACGCTCGGGAGCTTAAACCCTCTGGGTGCTTGATCGAAAAGCTTATTTTTTCCTAAGTGGGGTTGAACCGCATGAAAACTGGATGTAATTTTATTAAATATCAAAAAATTCTGCCTAATGTCAACTAAAGCTATTTTGAAGTTAGCTGTGTTTCTTCTAGGTCGTACAAATCAAAGTTTCTTTACGGCGCAATCACACGGTATTATCGAAAAAGCCAAAAAAAAAAAAAAAAAAAAAACATGACAACAAGACACTAAAAAGGAGTGATTTTGAAATTTACATGTAATAGCTAAACAAAGGACATGATTGGAAGGTTGAAAACGTGTAGAAAAGAGTATTCTGATTGACACAACTCCGCATGGGAAAGGGTACTAAGAGAAGCAGGTGGAGGATATTAAAAAAAAAAAAAAAAAAAGCATTTATGACTAAGTTAAAATAAATATTTGATAGAACAGATAACATTTTTGTATCTATTAATCACGTAAGATATGAATGAGTTTAATTTCAAGTGGAAATTTCATTAATGAGCTTGTTCCGCGACGTCGAAGCAAGCGGGAATGCGTTTCCTGCTACGTTCGTTTTACGGAAATACAGAAAAAATCGATCATGTTTAGGGAAAATACGTAGTGAGTTCTGCTGCATCCCCTTAAGTCAGTTGAGCTTTCAACTGTTGGAGCCATATATGATAAAATTAGTGGGCAGTGGTCGAGGCGGAATGAAGTCTGGGGCCGAGCTTCACACACTCTGATCGACACTGCTTCGTGGACCCACTTGGGCGTGCACAGCATTAGGCCAACCCATTTCAAAAAAAGTATTGAGCTCAACTGAAAAAAATGAAATAATACCATCACAACTTTTACTATGCAAAGGAGTCGTTCAGTATCTAATTTTAATGAACTCATGTTGTGTTAGACGTCATAGGCTACATCATACAAAGTTTGACCCAGGTAGCAGCCTAATAGCTATGTACGGTTAAAGTATCGTTGATCGTATATTACAATGCACGTTAAATACGCGCCGTATCCATCTGTTTCATTACCGGTACTGAGGTTAGCGCCATAGATATTTGAGATCTAGCGCGTTTTCTTCTGGTTTATATTCTCTACTATATATGTCATGATCGATATCGCAAAGAGCTAGATTAATAGAAAATAAAAATGCAGAAGTAATTCTATGACTGCTTTCAGTAGTACTGTGATAATCGATCTTTTGTACTTTGTGCTTTCCTGTAATTGCAACGCATCGCTTGATTTTAACCTAACAGTTCAGTAGACCCAACTCATTCGTCTATGTGTTATATCTTGCGCTTAAAAATTGAGTCTTGATCACAATCTTATTACTTGGTCGTATTACTACTTTATGTATTGATAGTGCAATGGAGTAGTCTAAGCTCAGCCTCGAGAGAGGTGTTTGCCCGAACATATTCTAGTCCTTTTTACATCCTCTAGCTTCCTTTATCAGAGAGACATACTCTGTATAGATAATTCAGGGTTTCCGTTTGGATCCCCAGAGTAGATTTTGTTAGTGCGATTATCTATGCCTATGCCCAGAATATGAGAAGCGCGGTCTAGAATATGCCTACCGATATAAGGAAAAATGCAGCACTTTCGAACGATCATCTTAAAGCGCAATAACTCCAGTGTTGCCTCCTAGGCATGCAAGATAGATTTTAGATGAAATTTACAGAAACAAACGAATAACGGTATAAGGGTATAAGAAGGAGGTATTTATTTAGTTTCGGACACAGACAGCGCGTGGAGACTCAAAGCATAGTAGATATCGAACTGTGCACGCATATACAAGCTGAAAAACATGTCTGACTGGCAATTTTGCAAACAAATAGCATGGTGCCTCTACGATAGGCAACTGGGTTCAAATGTCAGCAAGCTAAACAGAAAACAACAACGACAATGTTCTAAGCATGGAAACTATCCGGGTAGTTCTGATGCCCTCGTATAGGACCAACCAAATATTTCGATGATGAAATGAAGAACGAAGGTCTTCAGGCGTAGCGTAACCTGAGATGACACCGTATTACGCTAGATTCGATCATAAAGCAACGATCTATTTTAACAGTACGCATTTACAGCCTAGCTCGCCGTAGATTTAGCGCGGAGCTGACCCCCGAACACGCCGTCATTTACATGTAACAACATCACAAGTGTAGCCAGCGTTGCATTGGTTCCTGTAAGGGTATGCGCGTCCAAATCGTACCTGAACGCTATTTCAGGCTTAAAAAAGGGGCGTAGCGCCTACCTTGTGCAAAAAACCTTTTTGCACATTGCTTCATATTACGGCCCCGAGTAGTTCCTTCTTGTCAGTTGCGTATCTTGTTATCACACGTGACGTATAAGAGAGAACAGCATGATTCCGAACTTTCAAATAGCTCTGAGAGCCTCGGAAGTTATTAGTTGCTATATCGTGTATGGTGTATTTGTTGGCTTTAATTAATAAATCGAGAAACGTCCATCAGTAAGGTACGTGTTAAGGTGTTACCATATCTGACAAAATGTTCATTTCACGTTTGCTAATCTTAAAATTTTAGCCTTTAGTCAACAAGGGGCCATGCTGTTTGTTAACTGTTCGTATTTTCAACCGCTGAAAGAGACTCGGAACTCTTATGGCTATTATTGTTCTGCCACGATACATAGAGCAACTCCAACTGTAATCGATCGCTTCTCTCATTTGAAACATATACGTCTGAGTCTATCGCAAAAGCTAGTTGGCCTATAGCCTATATCTGTCTCAAATCTTTGCCCACATATCATCGTTAATGGAGCGGTCGTGTAACGCTGAGCTAATGCTAGAAGCGACACTTTTTCCGGTACCATTCTTTGAAGGCAATATTTGCTAGTTTTGTCATTTGTCCTATACGAGGATTGTTGTGCGTTCAGTTATTATTTACAAAATTATAATATATAATAATCGATGACGATGAGAAAAGAAAAATTGATCTTTTCAACTATTTTTCACTTTATCCTTTAGACAAACACATTCGAACTAACGCTGGTCAATTCAAAGGTAATGGAGAGGCATCATATATATATATATATGGCACTTAAATTGGGATTTGCTCGTACGAACCACTTTAAAGCAAATCAAGCAAACGGAGATACCTTGACAAAATCTTTAACGTGCGCTAAAGGCGTCGCCTTTTTGATGGCCATATGATGTAATCATCATTAAGTGCGGCTACAACTTCCCTGTGGACTCCAAAACTCTTATATTATTCCCAAACAACTTCTTAATAGTAACAATGCGCCAGGCATTACTGATTAGCGTAACTATACTGCATACAAAATATTCCAACAAAATTAAAGTTTGGACTCGCAGCACGCCAAAGTGCAAGCGCTCAAAATAGTCCAAAAATACAAAAGGCGTGAAAAGTCTGTCAAGTGTTGGAGCTTATCTAACCGACCCAATTGATATTTTCCTCCCCAAAGAAGACCGTTAATTTCTATGTTAAAAATGGCCTTTTAACTAAGTTTGGTCATTTTCTGAGTCGTTTACACCCAGTGAAAAGTTCCCGCTAATTTTTCGAAAATCGCATAAAAACTGGCCATAACGTAAAACTACATTCGGGGCAAGTGGTCTTTCTAGTTTTGGGAGTTAGTCCAATACGAAGAGATTGACTAATAGCTTAAATTACGGAAGGGACGTGTTGCTTTTTACCATGGGGGAAAAACTTTTCCAAACTCAAAAGTGGCAAATGAACCCACGTCCGTTGCAATAAAATAGCTCGCCAAAATATATTCTAATTTACATATCGTATGTATATATTATTATTACCACTGTTATTATAGGAAACGAGCTCTCTGTGCATCCATCATCAGTTACCGCACCATCAGATCCAATGCAGCTTCATAATCCCACACGTCGGTGGGACCTCCACCAGGAACCCCTCTTCTCCAAAGAGGCAACCGCAAGCTCAACAACAGCAAAACAGCAGCGGCACAGAAGATCACTCGACCACACAGCTGGCAGGTTAATACTGCCGCTTTCCAGATAAGATCATCTACTATATATGTCCATACTACCTTGATGATATCTCGTACATAACATTTCGCCCAAGTGCACCCGATTGCTATACTATATACATAGTGAACCTTCGAGCCTACTGATCAAACAAGAACGTTGTCATGGTTACATGGAACGTTTCCTTACCGCCGTAGCATCGATGAATATTCTCTGATTTTCTTCTAATTGACAACAATAGAAATTGGCGAACTCTAATGATTATAACGGAATCACTCGAGTGTGCGTGCATATATCAGATATGATGCATGCAACCGTTGAGCATTGCTAGACCATATGTCTGCTTGGTTTATGTGAAGGTCCAAGGTTACCGGCTAGATAAGGATAGTTCCTAAATGTCACTTCGAAATCGAGCTTGACGTTGAGTTTTTACACTTTTACCAGGGGACCTAATATGCTAAACCAGCTAATTTGTATACATAATTCAAGCCTATGAACTTCTCCGCGGTAGATAGACAAGTTATTTGTTTAATTCGTATGACTACTGCGATGGCGAAGGACCTATAAGTCGTCCTTAAATTACCTAAGAAATAACATTTTCATTTGCGAAACTTACAGACCATTGGTGATCTATGTTTGAATCCCTACGTAGACAGACCTCGTCTCGTACTGGGAACCCGCCGTCTAATGTAATGCCTAGTAGCTCAAGTACCGGACGTAAAACACGGAAGACAGTTTTTAAACGACCTATGTTATTTTCGGGGTTTGCAATGTTTTTCAAACGAGTTGCAATTTAGTGTTGTCGAAACATGTGGGTTGCTCAAGAGCTAAATCGATATTGCTAATGTGATGTAGGCCGATAAAGGCAAGCAAGGCCAAGACAATATCACCAGAAATACATTTCGCGTAATAAGTATTTTTCGCGTCATTTTTGAAGCCCAGTATATAATCTGATTGGTTATTATTAGTATCAGCTAGAGTACATTTCGATTCAGTGTCTTTCCGTTTCCTAAGAAAATAAGCATTTCTGTATTTGACGTTCCGTACATAACTATTGAGTACACCGAGTTTTCAGTTGAATACGAGGAAAAGTCAATGTTATATTAATGGAACACCTCTGCGTGTAAATACGTACGGCACGTGGATAGGTGAATCGAAGTTGCGCGCTCTCGCTGTGTGATCTTAGTTATTTACAAATGTAATCGTGCGCGGCTTTGTCAAGCCCATCGTGTTTAGCGCGCTTTTTTAAACCACAAATCATTATTATAAGTAATTCCTGGCTTGCACCATACTGTTTGACCGTAGATACAATAATATCTAAAAAAACCGAAAGCGTTAAACTGACCAAGACTCGAATTGTGTCTGTCATCCTGCCGATTTTGAAAAGCAAAGCTAACTACACGGCTGCGCATTGCCGAATGAGAAGCAACGTGAGTTGAGGAAGGTGATCTTAAAGGTGCTGTTTTACCTAAATTCCTCGTTGGAGACCTATGAGGACTCCCTTTTGTTCTCTAACCTGCTAAGAAGACCTGGTAGACTCGGTTGGCCCTGATAGATCGGTAGATAGTAGTACTGCCCGAGTTGTCTCAAAAGATATAAGACTGCCATCCTTACGGAATTGTTCCGTAAATGTAATTAGCACGGAGGAGAAAGGCACGCGCAAAAACAACCCGGCCAAACCGTGAAACATCGTTTTGAAACTGCTGTACTCAACCGCCAGCTAGCGAAACTCTGTCATTTGTAAAGTTGTCTCTTTTCTTGGAAGATGGCTTAAAAAGCAGAAACTAGTCCTAACACTGTGACCCTTGCCTGTTTCATTATTCGATTCTAACTAACAAGTTAAGTTCGTCTGCTATAGCAGCAAACGTTCTACTGTCATCTAGCCAGAGATCGCAGATCACTGTGTTGGTCCCTCTCGGTAGCCCACTAAATTAAACTATAATCGAGATAGTCCTTTCGTAGTGAACGTCGACTGTGTCGTTCAAACGCCGGTCTACGGGTCGACTACGCGTAATGTGTCGCTGCAGCTTAGAAATAAAGGTGCCACACAGTTTTTCAAGCGAAAAAAGGCCGCTTGTTTGTGCAAAATAAAAATAACCTTTAAATAATGGCGCCATACTAACCTAGAATAAATGTAAAAAAAAGAGCCACATCTGTTCATATGGAGTACGAGTTGATAATGTATATGTAAATGTATATATAAAACAGCGCCGTTCGTCGTCCAGGGTATATACTGTTATTAATCCTAAATCGCTAATATCCGGAAGTCATTAGGCTTGAGCCATACATACGAGTGAAGGTTGGACAGTCGCACGTTAATTATACTTTTGTAGAGACATTAAATAGGGCGATGTTTGTACTCTTGTCGTGCGTTCGGCAAAACACCAATTAACGCCCAGAAGCAATTTTCTTTGAGCTGCAAACATACAAGCTTCTACGGTGTGTGTATTTACAGGCCCAGTTTCATATGTTCTCAAATGTATTTGAGAGCAGAAGACCGCCAATCCCTAGAAGCCAACGCATTGCTTGACCATAACTGTAGTAAACCGTCACCGGGTGTACAAACGGCGATGCAGTTTATATTGTAATTAAGTTTTTTTACAAGTATATAGAGGTCACGCAAATAAATATAGCAACACAGAGAACGTGTTTTTAGAAACTGATTCAATAGGGTTTTTGTTTACAGAAATTGACTATGTGCACTCGATCTAACGCGTGCGGTATTTGCTAACGTGGTCCCGGATGATGCTCCATTGTAATACCGCTGTTGCGCCATCCGCCCCACGGAGCCGTGCAGTTACTTACTGCCTCTGATGGGCGACCGTTTTTCTGTCAATTACCTATAGTTCTTTTAGTTGACATTTACTGAAGTAGAATCATGTTTGTCTATTTGTCTTGACGCAGCTAGTAACTTAAAGATCAGTGGACAAACGAATTGACACTTTCGAACGACTGACGAACATACCGAAATGGCCAGAGTGAACCGAGGGATTTATACAATGTATCTTTTTAGCCAGTTGCCAGGATATGATACTCTTGTAGAGCTCCAAATTGCAAATGCACAACCTCCCAATGCACCTGATCAGTGTTTCAACTATATTTTTGATCATCAGGTCCCACTGCGGTTAAGGCCATTTTTATCTAACCCTTTGCTCATGTATCGAGAGAAATTATGAGAAAAAACTCTCACTGACACCGATTGAGGACAATATGTTCTATTTTTGTATAGTAGCAGTATCTGCGAACGTGACAATATTTCATGTGGGCCAATCGAGATAGACAGCTAGAAGTATAACGACATTGACGTTAGTCAAACAATATGAACACAAAAACCAGTCTTCGCTGAAATATAACTAATGTTTGATTGGTTTTTTACACTGATACGAGTATATTCCATCGTTGCTGCGTTCCTTTCAGTCAAGATAAATCTAATGTATTCGTCTGCTTGCCAGTGCCGAATTAAAGGACGGGTCCTACCTCGAATCAACGTGTTCTCAGGCGCGTGCATCGTTGTCTGAGGCCGCAATCTTTCTGTATTGATCTAAACGGCAAAGAGGCCAAGTCAATTATCTAAATCGATGTATACAGCCTTTTAACATCTCGCACCTGCAAGCTTGGAAGAATTTCTCTTACATGTAAGAACTACATTACTATGGGCCTGGATAGTGGCAGATTTTGTGTAGCGGAGCGCCGTTCAGACTATCCGCTCACATGTGCAGATTGGCTCAACTATGTACGTTACACACGGAACAGCGTTGCTGTCCTGTCGAGCCTGCTATGATAGAACATGCCTGCACGACGTGTCTCGTTGCGCAATCTATGTATGTCTAGTAAAAATGGCTCTTTTCGAAAAACCAAAGACATGGAAAATATCGATGACGACATGTACGGAGTCGATGTACAACAAATAAATCAAATATTTTGTAAAAGCTAAACTAAAAAAGCTAGAGTTGATACAGTACGTTCCTGGGGCAAATAGCTTGGTTGTACAACAAATCGCCCTTTTCCTGCTAAAAAAATTTAGCGTCCATTGTCCCGTTAAGTTTTTTTAAGGAGTAGCATTTTATAAATTGCAACGTGGTCCACTTGGGTGTCGGACTTGACGAGACCCTGATTTTGTAATGAGTCCTCCTACGACATCATGATCTCTTCCGCAAATCGGGACAGACCTCTTAAGTTTCTATTTCGATGAATTATAAGAATTCTCGACACCGGTCAACGTTTACTAGTCAATCAAACCTCGGAAGAAAAAATTCATCTACGTACCTAGCGAAAGATCTCGGGCTTTAATGCTAAGAAGTCGCATAACCTTCCGGATGTTGCTGTGTGATATTTTGGATCCCATGGAGCCTTCCTTCACGGTTGCCAACAAGCTGCGAAGGTATTATATTATGAAAAAAGATCACGGAGATTGCTTGATATATACGTTCCCTCATAATACGATGATGAGTTACCTTAGACGAAAGCTAGTGCGGTAATAAATTGTTATCATATCAAAGTAACATGTATGGGCCGATATTCGTACGCAAAGCTATCTATAAAATTCGTTGAATGACGCAGTTGAAGTGATACAAGTGTTAATTTATAGGTTGGTACTTGTCAGGCTCAGCCTAAATATATAAGTTGCCAAGTTATGAGCAACGAACTCGGGAGAACTTCGTGATTTTTCATTATATCAAGCACAGTAGTAGGAAATGACGACATGCTTCCGATATGTCAAACATTTTTATTATTATAACACACATCAATAATATCGGGCAGACAAACGTTGAGAGCTACGCTAGTAGGACACCAAGGACGCGTATTTTGCATCGTCTATTTTAATGTCTTTACTAGCAGGAAGTTGTGCCGTATTCAAGGCCGAGAACCTGACCAGAGACTGAATATATTTTAACTGGTGGCCTGGCAAATTGTTCTTGACAGTTGCGTCGGCCGTGGCCTTTTCATGTATTATTATCGTAGACAGCGCTGATACGGCGAGCACCTTCCTTTCTATTCCGGGGCCATCG